GCATTGCGGAAGAACATTTGTCAGCAGCTCTCATGAACCAATCAAGCTTAGAACCAGATGGTTTGAGGGGCTGAACCGATCGGCTTCACTGCTCTGCGGCTTTGAAATCACGTCGTATGGAACGCTGCCCCGGGAAAAAAAAAAACTGCGCTGAGCAGCCGACATGACGTTTGACGGTAGCCAGCTCACTAGATGTGGAGGTCCCTTGACCTATGCCTGGCATGGCTTTGCAAAGGCTAATGTTCAACTTGTCAATAGATATGGGTGATGGCGGTTTTCCTTTTGGTTTTCCTTTCAATTCACTCCAAAAGGGGTACCCTCAAAACAAGGCAAACCCATATCTGCATCTCGTGCCAAATTATTTTCCGAAGCGCGCTTGATGCCAACATCTTCTGGCTTTGAACCTGGGAGATTGCGTGGCTCCAGGGCTCCAGTGTGCTGTTGTTGGACACGAAAACAGCAACCCGGGCGAGAAAAAGGGATGTGCAGTGTGGGTGTGGCTGGAGGCTTCCCCGTTGAAGTATAGACATGACAAACCTACTGTTGACGTCCTGCCAAAGCCAAGTCTAATTCAAGGGTCGCCGTCGGCCACCGAAAAGCGAAAAGCAGAAGCCGAGTGAGGGCCACGTCGCACTTTCCGCCTCTGTTTCGACACTTTTGAGCCAGATCTGCCACTGGAATGGTGAGAACGGCTTTGAAGCCGGGATTCCCTTTTTGGAACCTCCAAAAGTTGTATGAAAGGCGCCAGAAGATGGATCAACTTTTGATGGGCAAATCCCGTCCGTCTGACGACCCCTTTTGCCATGAAGCTTGAGGGAGGTGGCGGAGAGGGCCTCTATGGGTTTCGCTCAGGTGAAGGTGGCGCAGGCCAAGCAGGCCGGAATCTGGAGTCCGGATGCGCTTCCTATGTTCTGAGCATTCCCCCCTGTTTTTAAGAAGTACAATTATAATAAAATAAAAATGAATAAAGCAACAAAACACAAACAACCAACCCAATGCGATGTTGGATTAAACTAAAACAATGCTCTTTGATGTTCCCCTATTAACTTTCAAATAGAATCACTGAACATATTGGGGTATGTGATATGACTTAAGCAAATGGAGGCGTTCGAAGGGTTACTCAGACAGCCTTGAAGGCAACATTCATTCGCTGATTTGGGTCGAAAGAGTTTGGCCACCAACATGGAAGCTGGCATTTGCAATCATGCAGCTGGCTGGGGTGGATGTGGCTATTATTGGGCGGCTCAATCTAAATTGGTGTTGCAGTCACTGTAACTGACCTTCGGCGCACTGTGCATAGCATTCCGAGCTGCAGTTTGGTTTAGTCTATAAGGCAGCAGACTACTTACTGTTGCAGCATCATCTCATAGCTTTGCTTGGGGCGACCACAGTCGCGTGCAGCAATGACACGTCTAAGCGAACCTGAAACGTTGCCAACAAACGAGAGAGAAAGAAAACAACAAAAAACAGAGAGACGGATACCTGGTATCGAAATTGGCAGTCAGACACATGAACTCCAGGATGAGAGGGATGCACCCCTATAACCCCCAAATGATGTAGTTGAAGGAGCGCATAAACGAGCGACTAGCATCATGCTCAGAACCTGAAGCTCAAGTGAGCCATGCGTTGCCTGCCCCCTACTTGACAGCACCAGGCTCACGCCGTGATCATCGTGGACACTGAGGCGAGGTGTGTCCTTGTGTATGTGTGTCTGTGTCTGGGTTTGCCTCTCTCTCTCTCTCTCTCTCTCTGTGCGCGGGTGTCTCTGTTTGTGTGTCGTTCCCGTGTTTGTTTGTTTGTTTGTTTGTTTGTTTGTTTGTTTATTTGGGTTGATCAAGATTCCTGGCCCCCAAATAATCATGAGTAACTTTTCCCATTTAGCGGAGAACGTCATGTTTTTTGGTGGTTGTTTCAAGGGTCATTCCATGTTTTGGCCCTTTTGATCAACCCCCATTTGTTTGTTTGTGTGTACAAGGCGTCTATGTCAGTGTTTGTGCATGTGTGTGTCTCTGTTGTTGTGGGGGTGTGGCTGCGTTCTGGTCTGTGTTGTGGGGCTCAACTGGCTCGGTGAGTGTCTTCCGCGTTTGGTCGTCGGCGGGCAGCGCTTTATGAGTCAAAAAACACTTCACCAGGGGACCGCAGGTAGTCCATGTTTCCATTTATCAGGGTTCCATTTTGTGTACCTAGTTTTGACCCGCAGCCAATTCTTCTATTGCATCATCTTTTCGGGGAACAGTTTTTCGCAGACAGACCGTGCCCCAAAAGGTGTGGCAAATGTCCCACGCGAGCAGCCCTGACACCTCCGGACCGAAAGAACACCTTGCGGGATCCCTCACTCCCACCATAGGTGTCTTTGGTGGGTTTGGCTGAAAATGGAGGACCCTGGATGGCCTGGTGGTTCAGTCATTTATTTCCAGAAAGGAGATATGGCTCCCACAGTATTCAAAGCAAAGAGTAGAGAAGAGAAAGCTTGCCCATTCCCTACACATCTATGGCGCAAGGTCTTTCTATGCCGCACAAAAGGCCATGCGCACCAAAACATCGTGGCAACATGGCTTTGCGTCCGGTTTTTAGCAGTGGATGTAACGGGGGACGGGAAATCTGACATAGCTGTGCCCAGTGCAAAGAGTGAGAGACACAAGTTGACAAGGATAGTATTGCATTCACCCCACCTCAAGATCCAGTAGACACATCCAGAGGGTGATGTTTGGTGACTTTGCATGAATGAGTGGTTGAGCAAACGCTCAACTTCAACCTGTTGGGACATGAGATGTTTGGGAATCCTTCCTACCATGAAAACAAGCAGAAAGCCCCTTAAACGTGATTGTTCCAGCTCCCAGAAACCAACATCAGCCGCTTGAACCAGAAGCTGTGAGTTCGACCCGCGCAGGGGTCCTCACGTACCAGCCAGCAGATCCGCAACATCATTGTTGCTGATGACGGCTACGGCGCGGTGCCAAGGGGCCAAGAGCAACGTGAGGCCTCCAGCGGCATTTCTGAGCCCTGCAGGCTGGATGAAACTCTGTAGCAACATGGGTTCGTAGCTTGACATTGTGCAGATGAGTTCATCTTCAAGCGCCTTTATGTCAAGGCAAGTTGGGATGTTGTATTGGCCAATGCCCGAGACCAGCAGAAACGCTTTGGCAGCAGAAGTCCGTGTGAGACGGGACGATTGAGGCGAGAACGTACACGTTCCCTCCGTCTTGATCTCGCGCGAGGCCTCGAGGGTCTCAGGCTTTTTTGGCTGAAGAGGGGTCCCAAGAGAGGTGTCTTTCTTAAGGGCACACTTTCTTGGGTTGTGTTAAAGGGAAGCCACAGTAAGACAACAATCGGCCTGGATCTTCCAAATCATGGAAATTTCACGTAAAATCCGGAGACTACCAGTTTTTTGATGGTCTCAGTGAAAAAACACGGAGTTTTCAAACTCCTGGGTTTTGAGGTAAAACTGTAAGAAATTGATTGTCGCTTCTGGAAATGGTTTGCACACCTGAAACTTCTAGAAATCGCAATTATTCGGTACTTGTCGGAAGGAACTCTCCAATTCAGACATATTCTGAATCAGAATCATTCACCTGAATCAGAATCGTTCACCTGAATCAGAATTATTTATTCAGAATTCAGAATTATTCTGAATTCGGAATTATTGCCTTTGGGCGACAAATTGGCAAAACCGGAAAGCACCACACCTGAAACTCAGCGTAAAACACCCGCAAAAAGCCCGCAAACTCCCGCAAAAACCCGCAAACTCCCGCAAATCAAAAAAAGACGGAGTTTCTGGAGTGTGTGTAGTAAAATCAGTGAAATACCCACTCCAGTGCAGAGTTGCATATTGCTGGGATAGTGTACAGAGTTGCACAATTGCGCGCCCAAACAACGAAAAAAGACAATAAAACTTGAATCCAATTGTTTCCCGCAAGAACCACTCCTAGTTTTTGATGTTCACTCCTGCCTTTTGCAAGCCACTCCTGCTTTTTGATTCCTGCATTTGAAACACCTGAAACTCCTAGTTTTCAGAGGGTCTCCTGGAAATATCCCGGAGAACGGAAAACAGAGAAATAACCCGGAGACGGAGGACGCAGGGGTGGCTAATTACCCATCTGGCGCGGGAAGGCCAAGATTGTAGAAAGCGGTTTGGAGATGCGCTTTTGGTGGATTTCACCTGTTCTTCCCCCTGTAGGTGTTTGGTTTTTGCACGAAAGATGGCGCGGAGATGGCGCAATTTGACTTCAACCAGGAGGGGGGTCTCCCATTGCATGTTGTTTTGCTTCTTTCCCTCTTTGTTTTGGGGGGGTGGGGGCGCTTCCGCCTCCCTGAAGCCCAGAAGGATGCAATCTCCCTTTGCAATTCTTGGGGTGTTGCTCGCGATCACTGCGCGCTCGAATCAAGCATCCGAATCACATTTTTCTCTTGAGAGAGAAGCAACCTGTGTGACTGGTGGTTGATTGCAAGGCTTTACCCAACCGTGGGCAACACAACTTGGGAAACACGAAGCTTCGACATGTCCTTTCAAGGTCAGTCTGCCAAAAATCGATGGCGCTGGTTTCAGCCTGGTTCTAGTCACGTCCCAGTGCCATCCATTTTGGTCGAAAGGACATTTAGGCGAATCCCGCTTTCAAAGGTACGGGTGCTACCTTTGAACTGCAAGTGTCTACCGGTGCGCGCTCGCACAAGTTTGGCTCAGACATTGCGAGATGCTCTAGGCTCTTTGAATTTGAGCTTGTCCCGAGGGCACGAAGCATTTGGTAAGATGTGGCCAAAACCCAGCATGCCTCTTTGGGCTGAAGACGCGACCGAGAAGCCTTGGGAGCTTCAAGCTCGAACCAGGGGCTTCCACGTAGAAAGCAACTTGCTTGACTCATGCAAGACAACTACAAACTACTATTTTCCGTACTTAGTCGAATTGGCAAGTATCAACCTTGCGTGTTCGGGTCAAAGGAGCCCAAGCAAAATAGCTGATAGTTTGCCGCCGCGTGCCATTGCACGCGCGGCGCCTTTTCTCAATGGAGGAGCTCCAGCGGGATAGCTTGCTAGGCGAGGCGTCTGTGTTCTGCTTGGCTTTTTCCGAGTTGGATGCCACGGCAAATTGGCAGTTTTTCCACGTCTAGCCAAGGAAGGGACTAAACGTGTGAGCGGCACGGTTGTTGAGGCATGATCTGAATCTGTGTATAGTTTCGATTTCTTCGATAGACCTGTAGTAATGGTTACGACTTCGAAGTTTGTGGCTGCAGCACGTGCAACTAAAGGTACTGTTGTTACCAAAGATGACTTGCGGAAGGTGTGGCAATATAACCGGTCAGTTCAGAAAGATCAGGGACTTGTTTGGGCTGGAAATAGTTCCCATCAGTTGGCTGTTAAATAGTGGAGAACCGCTAGTAAGTAGTCATCGATTGGATCCACGGAAAGTCTACGGGAAAACAATAATTACGTATTGCATCTCCCTCACCAGCTGCTTGTTTAACTGTTAGTCAGATTCCTGTCCTGAAAAGTCCTGTGGCGAGTTGGACGCCTTCTCGTGTTGACTGTCCTGAAAACAACGCAACTTGTTTTCCGCTCCGAAGTTGATTTGTATCATTGCAGCAGGCTCTCAGTACAGGACCTAAAGTCACGGGTTCCATGTCTATTGAAAGTCGTGGACCCATGTGAATTGTGGTTTCTCCGGCAAACAAAAGTAGAGATCCACCGAGGGGGTGTTTTCTGGTTTTTCTTCGGGTACCCTTTCTGTGTTCTTCCGGTTCTACGTGTCGCTCTTATGGGAACCCACCAGGACCATCAGCCCGGTCGCAAAGACGCCAGGCCTTGACCAGCCCTCCAACTTCGCCCGGCTCCTGCAAGATGGCCCCGAGGTGCAGCCTCGCTTCGCGGCCTTCAGAAAAACCCCCGGAGGTTCCGCCTCGATTTTATCGGCAACGTGAATGCCTGAAGAAAACATATCTCATGTAACCAGCAGACGCAAAGATGCTACAAGGATGCTATTGGGATTGGATTGTAACAAGAAGATGTGAAGTGGTTTCGAGCCCGTGGTGTCATTTCCTGGCGCGAGACGCGGATTTCGCGACCGTCCGCAGTTGACATTGGAGGTGCAGGGGGCACGCGAGGAAACAATGGACATTTCATGTTCATTCTCTTGGAGGGCCTGGAAAGGCCAGAAAATAATGGAAATGGCATTGTTATTGTTTTGAAGGGCCTGGAAAGGGGAAAGTGATAATAATGATAGTGGGGGCGGGAGGGGAGGAGGGAGGGAGGGGGGGAGGGGTGGAGGGGGGGAGGGGCTTGGAAAGGGCTGGGGCTGGAACCAATGGAAAGTGTGTTTTCATTCTTTTGGAGGCGCGCGACCGTGATAGCCATGGGGGGGCCGCCCCTGGGGGGGAGGCTTGCCTTCCCCTGTTCCCCCCCTCCACTCTTCGCTTTCTTCCCGTAAATCCCCCTCACCCCGTGTGCGGCCTCCGGAGGTGGGACTTGGGGACCGGGATCCGGGATCCTTCGGGAGAACCAGCCAGAAGCTTCACCAAAATAGATGATCAGCTACAGGGGGAGTCCCTTGAGAAATCCAGAGTGCGACTTCCCCATTCCCAGAGTTGTCCCTAGAAGTATAAGAAACAGACTTGCATATGGCAGGATCTGCTGGATGGCTTTTGGATGACGTATTATATATATATATATATGTACACACAATCTCCGGACTTAGGGAAATGTTGCGTCAGAGGGATATTTTCACCAAGTTCCAAGCATTTGGCCCGGTCCCTTTTGAAAGCAGTGTTTGCTCAAACTGTAAGCGTGGATTCAAGTTCCACGGGTTCTAAAATGAATGCAAAGTACTAGTAGCTGAACATGACTCCTACGGCTCGTGATTTGGCACCGCATGCAAACAATCAAGCTGCTGCCACAGGTTGGAGCAAGGGCTTGAGGGTGAGGTGCTGAAATCAGAGTGAAGACATGCCATCACGGCAGTCTTTGCGCTTGATGCAGCCCATGCTAAAACCACCTCCTCCCCAACTACCCTCCTGCCCATGGAACCTGACGTTTTGGGGTCCTGGTTTGGCTGACGTGTCTCCGGTGGGTTCCATGGGGACTCCACAGCCGCTCCGGCCTGGCGAGTTGGTCAGGTGAGTGCCCTGCGGCTGCTTGGCCTGCCGCACAGCCACGACTTCTCGGAGGGCCCGCCGCCTCCAGAGCTCATCGGCCAGGCCTCGGGGTTTCTTCGAGGTCCGAGTCTTTGCCGCGGCAAGCCCAGCCATCCGGGGGTTCTTAGGTTGCTGGTGAGTTGGTTTGGTAGTTTCCATTTGATCCACTAGAAACGTTGAGCTTGCAGGGGGTCTGAGGTCTTGAGCAGGGAGCCATGATTGCCCTGCAGGCCACTCTTGCGAATCAAGCTCAGGAGGAAAAGGACGTTCTCTTGCATAGCAATGATATCTTGAAGATCTTCTACTACTTTGATCGGGGGTTCCCTGTCCGAGTGGGTCCAGTCAAAACAGATAAACCAATTCTCTTTTTGCGTCTTTTGTTTGGCGGTCCTGAAAGAAGGCAGCTCTTACACTCTTACAACTCAGAGCCATTCTGATGGTACGGGACCTGATTAGCCCTGCCGTGCGCAAAATCCGCCTCGCACCAAACACTGCAAATACTGGTTGACAAAGCCACCTGCCGACTGGTGCCTGGCTTGTTTGGTCCATACACCTTTAAAAACAAGGGTGCCCCATGTTTCTGTTTTTTGTTTTTTTTACAGGGAAGCCAAAGGGAAGCCAGAGGCTTCCCTCGAAAGAAAAACAAAAAAAAACGACACAGCTTTCAGATGCGGCGACTGCGGTGCCCGGTGCTTCTGTGCCTGGCGTCGCTGCTGGTCAGTCTCTTCACCCAGGCCTGGTGTGCAGTGGCCCCTCGGCTGGCGGGGGCAGCGGCAACCCATGGCCCATGGCTTTGGATAAAACCCACGAAACCATCGGCACCAGCCGGTAGGTGGTTTGCCACCCGTAGTGTTTCATCCAACTGGTGCAGGACTTTGTCCAGACTTAGTATATTGGTAGGGTCATGAATCATGAGTATTGTCTTGTGGCAAGCCTTGTTAGACAGTGGACGAGATGTTAAGAAACTGTTAATAGAAAGGTTGATTTGGCAAGCCTGGTTAGTAAGTCGGTTGTAGGCTTGCGGACGATTGATGGATCGCCAAGTCCCATGCAGTTGGATGACCGGACTCTGGTGAGTTTCTCAGCTTGGCATATTCACTGGGTAAGGAAACGTATTCGGAAATCCACTGGGGTTGTGAAGACCTTACTAAGTTGGATTGCTTTGCCCCGAATGTTGCAAGCAAGCTATCTTCCCTTCTTGTTGCCACAAGACATTTGAGACTTAAATTGTCTCCGTTGGGGTCTGCAAAGCTTGCTGGTGCTCAGCAGGGAATGAGCCAGGGTGTTGGGAATGAACCGGAAGGGGATTCCCTTCAAGGAAACCACGCGGGATGTTTTATAGGGGTCATTCCCTCATTTCCCACGCAAGAAAGCCCTGCATCAATTGCGAAGCGATTCGATGCTCCATGGATCTTTTGAGCCCTTAGAACGGGAAATCATGCATGGCTCGAGGTGGTGCCGGTCAAAAATGTGCTTTGAGATCGTGTGGGGAGGTATGGTGTATTCACAGTGAAGGTTCTTTGACCCTCATCATTTTTGCGGGATGTAGGTTTGAGCAAACCCTGAAGACGAAGTTCCTTCTCCCATGCGAAGAGTCTGGAGTTCCTTTATTGGTCCTGCGGGCTGATATCCAAGACTTGAACTTAGTAGCACCTGTGACTTAATGTCCGTTCTCACCAGGACGCACCAGTGACTCAATGCCTTTGTGCTAGCCGTGTGCTGTTGGCCTTATGAATCTTGGCCGGGGCTCTACTGCCCAAGGACGGCTGGAACGTGTACGGCGCAGGCACGCCGAAACCAGCCACGGTTGTGACACAGTTGTGGATTTCTGCTATGGGCATTGGACAGTCGTTGCAAACAGATCAAATTCTTGGCAAACCTTCCACAAAATAGCTGTGTGCTCCCAACAAGCAAAGACCAAGGGAGGAATGGTCGCTTTGGACAAGCGCCAATTGTTTGCTGATAATACCTACCGCCTAGGCCCTCGACAGAATTACAAAAATGGCTGCCAAGGTGTGTTGAGGTGTGAATACACCGATCATTCGTCAGGCTTTAGGACATTTCGACACTCCAATTCAATGGCACTGTGTCAACACCAAGCAACAATAAGTTTCTGGTTGGTACGCACTTCAATTGAAACGGGTATCCCTTTGAGACTCAATGGGATGCCAGCGAGTGAGGTGATCCGAGGGACCCGTCGTCTCACATGTTGCCAGGTCTCGACGTGCCCTTGCACTGCAAGCCGCTGAAGTACTGGCTGAGCGCCTACCTTGTGGCAGCCTCGGAGCGGTGGTTTCCCATTTGGAGGGTCGAGTCGTTGTGAGACACCGCATAACACCTCCGCTTGTTGTTTTGGGGGCAGTTTCTGGTTTGGTTCAACCAAGAAACCAGTCAGTTTGAGGGTCTCATGTTGAGACCAGCCCATCCCCAAATATATGTGGCAGTGTTGTGTTTTGAGAGAACCGTTTTGCTGTGTTGAAAGGAGACCAAAGGGAATCGCTCATTTTGAGTTCTCTCATATAAGATTTGGAGACACAGCCGTAACCCATGTGTCAAACACCCTCCTTCCAAGGAAGCCAACCGTTCCTGCTGGTGCCCAGCAGGGAATGAGGGAAAGACCTCTGTAAACCATCCCTATGGTTTCCTGGTTCATTCCCAACAACCAGGGTCATTCTCCACTGAGCACCAGCAAGCAATTTGGGGTGCTGACCATCTCCCAGTTCAAAGCCCTTTCCACCTCAGATGGTGACCCCTGGATCAACCAAACCCTGGAGAAAATCCTTCACTTGTTGGGGAACCCGCCATCCTCCATTTGGGTGAAAGTACATGGCACAATTCCCTCGTTTTGGTTAAGTCAGTTAAGTCATCCGCGCTACTTGCCCACGAAAAGACAATTGGTGTAGTAAGCATGACTGGTCTGTGGGGTGACCGAATCGCCACACCTACAGAAGGTGATAGACCTTGTGCTCGTGGCTTGGAGCAATCCAGTAATTTGTTTACTTTCACTCAACTGTATGTAGCCATGGTTGGGATTCAGGTGGGTGAATGATGAGTCTCGCCGGTTTGGGGATGGATCGGATTGGGATGTTCAACACTTTGCCCTACAAATCAATTGGCATGGGCTTGGTTTTTATCGCACATGAGGTTTGGGATTATCTAAGTTTCTTGATTGCTGTTGGGTTGCATCTTGGAAAACCCTTGGGGTTTTCCAATTGGACCCACAAGTTAAACACACTTTTTGCAGAGTCCTTATATATAATATATATATATATATATGCATATATATATATAAACACGTACCCACCGAGCGGCTCCGCTCGGGTCTGGCGCCCGCTCCGCCCGCTCCGCCCGCGCCGCTCGCTGAGGCCTCCACGCTGCTGCCGCTGACCACGTCGGTGGCGCTGGCGCTGCCGCTGGGGGTGGTGGCCATGGCCACGGGGATCCTGGTGCGCCGCTGGGATCGGTTTGGAGGATCCGAGTGGGTTGGGCTGGGATGTGGCTGGCTGGTGTTGTTTTCAGGGAACCTCCCTTTTTTGGGGTGGTTTTGAAGAGGAAACCAAGGGGAGGTGGATGCTGTGGATGGTTGCGAAATCCTGTTCGCACCTAAGAAGTTTCTGGAATGATTCGATTCCCTTGTAAATACCAAGAGACAATGGTAGGCTCGTTTGGTGTTTTAGAGAACCCCCTCCTCTTTGGGTGGTTTAAGGAGAAGCCAAAAGGAAACCCCATCATTTGTATGTGTCCTGTCTTTGAGTTGGTACCTCGGTTTGGATTTGGTTTTAAGGGACACCTATAGGCAAACCAGGAAGGTCCCCTAAAAAAGACACGTCATACGCGGATATGTTTGGTGGGTAGATGATTCGGGGGTGGTTTTTTAGGGAAGCCAAAGGAACAACCACATGTTTATGTGTTCCCCTGTTTTGACATACCCACTCGCTTGTAAGGGAGCCAGGAATGAACCTGATAGCCATTCCCAAGAACCCAATACAGGGTCACTCCCAAATTCCCTAAGAACACGCTTGAAGGTCGGATAGATTGGGTGGTGGCCATGGTTCTGGCCTTGACCAACTTACTTGCCCCAAATGGCATAGACCACCTATAGGCCTTGAATATAGGGATGGAATTTGGGGTACCTTGTATGACCCGTACAAACACAACATGTTGGGGTATGTCCAGCTGAAGCTCAAGCATTAGCTTTGCAATTTGTGAATGACACTGGTTGACTAAGACAGGTTTGTCCTCAACTTGGCCTGCTAGACCTCAGCCAGTGTCGCGATTTTAGTTTCTTGTTCCTGGAAGGTTGAGTCCAATGTGATTTTGTGAAAAGGGTGACTGCAAGTGATGCAGGCCAGGGCCTTCACATCCCTCCAAACAATTTTGCGGGTGTTGACAATTTGAGATAGTATTGTCGTGCATTCATCAAGTAGTGATCCAATATTGCAGTCATTCGAACTGATTTAGTACTGCTTCCTTGCTTTGCTTCTGGTTTTAGCACTTAGCACTGGTGTAATATGGGTCTAGTACACAAGTTTTGGCAGGCCTTTCCTTTATGCTCTTTTGGCATTCAGCCAGGTGCCAGACAGGCTTCTCGGGTGCGTATTCAATATCTATCGCCGCACTTGGGCTCTTGGCACAGGCTACGCCATCATTCGATTTCGGCTTGGCCTCGTTGAGCTGAATGACACTGAATGACACTGGTGTTGCGCATAATCTGGTACAGCCTGCTTTGCTGCTGCTGTCATGATAATCCATGCGCCCCTTACAACACTACCCGCACACTGCCTCAACTTGCTATGCTTTGAACTAGGTTCAATCATTCGGTTGCTTGCCAGACCTAGGTGCGATGACGCCAGGCAGCTGTGAGCAGGAGGCAAGACTCATAATTTGTGCAGGTGCAAGCCTGGCCCCCAGGAAAGCCATTTTTGGGGCAAAAATATTCATGGATGTGTGGTGGTTGAGTTCCATAAATCTGATGCGGATGTCACACATGTGTGATCTGCAGCGATCTATTTCCAAGAGCGAGAAAGCTATGTTTGGCTTTCTTTGCTTCTTCATTTCAACCTCTGGGCTTCTGGTCATTCGAAAGGGCATTTTCTCTTGGTATGATGTTGAAATGGGACATGTCAGGAAGTGTCAGAGGACTTATCATGGGCTTGGTAGGGTGTGTGTCTGTGTGTGTGTGTGTGTGTTGCGCGTGTGTGTGTGCGTGTGTGCGTGTGTGTGCGTGTGCGTGCGTGTGCGTGTGCGTGTGCGTGTGCGTGTGCGTGTGCGTGTGCGTGTGCGTGTGCGCGTGCGTGTGCGTGTGCGTGTGCGTGTGCGTGTGCGTGTGCGCGTGCGTGTGTGCGTGTGCGTGTGCGTGTGCGTGTGCGTGCGTGTGTGTGTGTGTGTGTGTGTGTGTGTGTGTGTGTGGTGTGTGTGTGTGTGTGTCTCTGCGTGTACGTGTGTGTGTGTGTGTGTGGTGTGTGTTTCTGTGTGTGGGCGTGGGTGTGTGTGTGTGTGTGTGTGTGTGTGTGTGTGCTTGATTCATTCTATGCGAACCGCGAAAGGGTTGAACAACTAACCAAAGGTGGGTTTATGTTTGGATTTGGGTGCAAGCAACCTCACCGCCAATGATAAGCGGGAAAAAACAACAACATGAGTGGTTGCAGCCTCACAGGACCAGTGGAGAACGCGAAACATGTGTATTGACTGCATTGCTTTCCCGTAGTCAACAACCATTTTGCCCTGAACGGCCGACTCGCGGATCCCAATCTTTGTCAGTTTGTCTTTCTTCCTGACCTGGGGGATGCGCTTCATGTGGCCATTCCCGTTGCAATTGCAGCAGTCAGGCGCCCACTTTGTGGCAGTTCATCAATGAGGTGAGCCTCAAAGGCCTCTTCTGTGTCGTGGGAGCCCGGGCCCCAGAGAAGTCAGTGCAACTGTCCCGCCGAACGTGGCGTGGTGGACGGATCTCGTTTCCAAAAGGACAGGTTTCGTCTTCCAAAAGGAGGGGGGGTTGCGCCAGGGTGGGGCTAGACATGTTTAGCGTCTGAACAATTTAAACATAGACGTGTCTAAGCACGTTTACAAGGCATGCGCGTTGACGTTGAAACCGTTCAATCATGTTGAGGCCGACCCTGAATGTTTGAACGTGCTCGCTGGGAACCCTACGTTTGCCCGCCGACTGCGTGACAAGGGACAATGCGGCCGCCACGACCCCATTTTCTGCAACCGAGTTGCAGGTTCCCCCCCCCCCCCCCCCCCCGGCATCCTGAAGCGCGAGCTGGCAATGGACGGCCCAGTAAACTTGCTGACCCTATGGAATGAAAAAAACAAAAAACGCACGCCTGTCACAAGGTGGGCTGACGTAGGGATCTTCGGGAACATATTCAAACTGTTTTAAACAAATAAGTTTGAGCAAACACGTCTAAACATTTTGGGGAATTTAAACAGTTCAATGTGGGGGCTTTAATAATAAAGCCCCCCCGCAAAACAAATGTTGGGGGCCACAATTCAGCTGCGCTGTGTGTCTTCGAGCTCGAAGAGCAAGGCAACCCTACCTGAAAAGTATACGGATTACTTTCCCCCCAACCTCCAAAAACACCGTAAAGACCATCCAAAACGCCGCTGACAACGGCCAGCATCCCACCCAACATCCGCTACATCCTCACCATCTTGCACAGCATTCGATTCGGACATAGCAGGGATGCTTGCCATCAAGCGAGTGGGGTTTCCGCGAAAGCGGCCGTCACCATGATGCGGAAACCGTCAAAACCACCGTATGTTTGTTCGTCATTTTCCGTGTTTTCTTTTGTGGGGGCATGCCGTGGACGCCGTGTTCTTTGTACTCAGAAGACAAAAGTACTGGACAAGAAGAGAGAAAAAGAGAGAGAGAGAGAGAGAGAGAGAGAGGAAGAGGAAGAGGAAGAGGGAGCAAGAGAGCTGCCTAGGCACAGGGCTGATCCCATCAACCTCACTAATCGACCCGCCGAAATCTACAGAGCCGACCACCGAAGCGGCTCAGCTCACGGTCATCCTGGGCGTGACCGCCACCACCATCTTCCCAACCCTGCGGAGCATCGAGGACCGCTGGGGCGTCGCCGGCACCGCCGTGACGGAGGCGCGTTTTTTTTTCTTCTTTTTTTCTTGTGAGACGAAGAAGCCGGCTTTTTGGTGAAGGGGGGATGGCTCTGCAAGTCTTTAGCTGAACCTCCTTCTTGCTTCATCAGTATGGTCAGTATTAAACTATATACCCAAGTTAGATTGTGGGAATTTGGGGAGGGTTTGCGTGTTTGTTTGTGTGCGCCTGGTTTTGTGTGTCCCATGTCACTGGCGCGAGTCGAGGAACCCCCAGGCCTCCCCAGACCCGAAGACCCGCAGCTGGGTTTTCCAGGAAGGTCTCAAGTCGGGGAAAGCGGCCGTAGTGCCAGGCTCCTGGCTCTTGCTTCCTCCAATCGGATAGCCGTGCGGGCTGCGCTAACCTTCCTCCCCTTGCATTTGAGAAAAAAACACATTTTAAACACATCCAATGTGTGTCTCCAGCGAAAGCCATGAGCGGAGGGTGTGGTACATAATGTCATGATCGCGAAATGGAATACACTTTCATGTAATTGTTCATGTCCAACGATATAGTTAAGGGCACCTTCCGAAGCTTCTGCGTGTCCTTCGCTGACAGAATTCACTGAGATATGCGGTACTCGATGTTCAACCATGGTGAGCTACCAAGCGCAATGAGCATTAAGTTTCTAACGTTAGGGAGCCTCCAACTGATTGGCTTTTCATAGGATTCCCTTACCCTTTTTTGTCAACACTCACTGAAGTAAACATGAGGCCTTTCGAGATGATGCTGGTCTTCCAACCCCTCCTGTGCACTTTCATGTGTTCCGCAAGGGTAATTACGCATTCCGAATTGGTGTCCCTACTATGGACGGACGAAACCTGCTCTGCTCCAGTTGGGAGGGATGAGCCGTATGGTTGATAAACCACTACTTTCGACCTTTTTAGCTTGAACCACCCACTCGCCCCTAGTGTTTCACGAGTTTGGGGACATCTAGCAGGAAGCGAGCTTGTCAGAACCACTCTCGACTGTGACCAACTGCTGCCAAGCGGCGGCAGGTGATTGAGGCGATCCAATCCAGTGCAGCCGTCGAGGTGCCCGCAGATACCGCGCCCTGCAACTCACAAAGGCGTCAAAGCACACGCCTGTGGTGTGTTGGTGTGTTTGCTTGTTTGCTTGCTTTGGGTTGGGGTGCGTTGCTTTGCGTTGCGTTGCTTGCTTGTGTGTGTGTGTGTGTGTTTTCTCGCCAATCACTATTTTATATTTGCTCTTCACCACATGTCCACATGTTGGTCATGAAGGGGCCGTGCAACACGTGCTATGTAGCTGGAGCTGTTTTTGAACGTTTCAAAGCCAGCAGGGCATTTCACGGGTCTCCCATTGGAGAGAAACTTAAGTTGGTTCGCAAGATTTGGTTTGCGACAAGTCCAAAGAGAAGAAGCATAGGTGTCCGATTTAGGTTAGTTTGGCTAGAAATAGATGGCACTGGTTTAGATGGGTTGTGTGCCATTTACAAGGGGCCATTTCTTTTGCCGAAAGGTCACCTATCTTTGTGCACTTGACTGTTGAATCTGCTATAAATCGTCAAGGATGAGACAATTTTCTCAGGTAACCTTATCGTGCTCCCTTCTAGAAACCACCAAGCTGGCGGGGGATACATTCGCATAGCACAATCTTGGCTCAGGAGACTAAACATGATGAAGCTAAGCGGTGTTAGCACGTGGGGTCAATCAGTACCAATGCGTGCGACTAGTGATGCTCAGGAATGTCCAATCTGCCTGGGATGCGAGGATTCCCTCCTGGGCAGTTGGAGCTGCTTGGAGAAGTGACACATGAGACACGAATAGACGGTTCGTCGGCAGTTCCTGCCATGGTCATATGATATGGTCACGGAGAATACCGCTTTCCTTGTTTTCTGCGCCGAAAGGGTAAGCCATTAGCGACTGCCACGTGATCGGTTTGGGTTGGTGGTTTCGTTGCCAGTGCCCGGTTTGACTCGGCAAAACAAAGGCTCAAACTCCAAGCCACCTGCTTGGTTTTGGGTTTCCAATCAATGTTCGGCATGGTTGCCCATGCCAGGCATGCTGCAGGCATGCTTTAGGATTCTAGGATCTTGGCCTATGGCAAGCTTATTTGGCCATTATTTTGTTTATAGGGCATCACTTCAAAAGTGATTGGTAGACATGAATCCCCACCTAAATGATGTCCACCAAAGGGTCCTCAATTAAATTTCATGCCCATTTGAGAGTCACTGGGTCCAGCATCCAATACCCATGAACATGCTCTAAGGAGAGCTTCCCTGCTCGCACCGGTTTCACGAGGAGCGACCGACCTTGGGGCCTTTGGGTCGGGAGAGTTTAATTGGCACTCCTTACATCAGCTGCGAAGCGTGGATGTGGGGTTCCGCTTTCACGTCCACCTCCTTGTGCTGGGATCCCTGACAGTTTCGGGCAAGCTATGCCCCATCTGGGACAAGGGCTCTGAGAGTGGCGCTGAGTACCCGGCGTAGCTTGCGCGCACGCACGCATGCACGCGCAAACACGCACGTGTGCGCACGTGCACGCGCCCGCACACGCATGCGTTGGTTTTCCTATTGGTTTTTGCGCACGCACACGCACACGGTGGTTTTCCCACTTGTTTCACTGTGTTCCATTTAGGGAGCGTGTTGGTTGAACGCTTGTTTGTTCTGGAGAAGGTTTTCCGAACTCAACTGCTGTTGGTTGCCACTGGACAATGTGACTTGCCTCCCGGGAGGGCGGGAGATTGGGGACCTCCCCAAATAAGTTTGTCAGTGAGTCATAAAAACCCCACACCGCCGCACAACCCTAACCATGCCAACTTGATAGATTTATGGCAAGGGACCGCCCCCTACCTGGGTATCTTGAAGTTGCTACCTGGGGGCTATGGGCTTATATGAGGCTAGATCAAGAAGTCCAATCTATGACGCAGTTGGGAGGGACATGGGGGACTCAAGACATTCCCCGCAACCTGGGTCAATGAATGTCTCATGTTCCGGGGAGGCAAGTTAAAGGTAGGGAAGTATATAACACGTCTTTTCCGCTAAGTGTCTCACTTCCGGACCTCCAAACAACGCACCTGAACATGCCCACAGAAAGGAGGGGTTTCAAGCAGGTTCTGACGCGAGAAAGGCTACTCAAGCCACCCAGTTTAGTTTTGAGAACGTCACGGGCGCCGGCACGCACTTGAAAACACGCAACCACACAAAGAGACAAGCACACACACACAAGTGAAGGGATCCGTTCGACCAACTTTCCACGGGGTCGAACAGCGTCTACAAGTTGGGCCTCCAGTTTTTGCGAGTTTTCAGCTTTGAGACGGTTCATGCAGGAGTGCCTCCTGGAGTGGATCGGGCGAAAGCCCCGGTGCCCATTGTGCCGCTTAGACTTGCACTCGGCCTACGCCGGGCAGCCAAGGTTTGGGGTAGCTGGGTCTCAGTTTGGGGTCCTCTTTTGGTTTCGAGTGGTGCCTTGGTGAGCACTCTGACTTTACCTGGTAGCTACTCCAATCCGACGATATCCAACGGCTGCACTGAGTTTCTTGAACGCCGTTGAGCTTCGGTGCGGTGATGTGCGTCTGGCCGAGGCTGAGCCATCGCCTCTCGCCCAGGTCTGAGGCAGGGAAAACGTCGAAAACGAGGGGTGAACTTCCTGTTTGTGAGGCAGGAAGAGCGCGATGAATATGGGTGTCGTTCTGTTTTGAGTATACCCGTTTCGTAGCCAGTGGACCTGTTGGTTTGGTATTTGGAAGGATGGCAACATGGGAACCGACCTGGATGGGTCCCTGGTTTTGACGCGCTCGCTCACACGCATTGCCATGTGATGCTCGACCTTATTCTCAGGGACTGTGGTTAAGGCTTGGGCCTCCAAGAGACTTGGCGTTTGGAGGCGTGGGGGTCCCACCCCACCCCGTGGGCCACACAAGGCATAGCCCAGCACTCCCGACGAAGATTCATGTCCTCCAGCAGTTGTTGAGGTGTCCTCCGCCTAAATATCAAAGCCGGCCTTGAGTGATTTTTGCCGACATCCGGCAACCAGAAGCGTGATATGTGACTTGACAGCCAACCTTGTTGCGTGTCATTGATGTGCCCAACAATGTCGGCAGATAGAGGGAGCCTTGTTTTGGTTGGCTAGTCCAAGGAGCCCAAAACAGAAGCAAACACAAAGCATCCACCAAGCCAGGCACCCTGAGATCCGACCTAACCACCACAAGCAAGTCCGCTGGACTTTCAGCCAGAAGGCAGGCATGTAACACACGCAAGCCAACCCAATGCCAGCCCTTAATCCAACCCTGCCCAAATCAACCCTCGACCATCCCACACCAAGATCCGAAGCCAGCTCTAACAACCCAAGCTGCGCCTCCATTTGACCCGCCACTCAAGGCTACCTCACCTTGCACCTTGTTTCTTCATCTTTTGCACCGGAAAAGCAAGTCATGGTCTACCAAAAACAAACATTGCTGAGAGACGGGTGTTCTGTGGGAGGGGTGCGTCATTTTTGCCGTTCCAGTTTCTCCATTGTTGGGCCATTGCCTGCTTGTGCCGAATTGCCAAATTGCAAAATGCTGCCAAGGTGAAAGCAGGCTGGGCAGATTATGAGTAGGAGAAAAGCAGGAGATACCACAACCATCTTGCAGGGTTCCCACTGGACGGATGTTGGGAGATATAGCCGGCGAGGCATTTCGGATTTAGGACAGCCAGGCGGCGAGATATTTGCAAACTCGCTTGCCCAGCGGCGAGATTGTGGTCCTTCACTGTTTCCAGCGGCGAGATGCTTGGCTGACAACACCAATCGCGGCGAGATACTCTAGGAGTAGCTCTCCGCCCAGCCCTGCCCTCGAGAACCAGAAATCTCTCCAACTTGGGCCTGGTGCCAACCCCCTCAAAGTGGAGAGCTACTCTGGGAGTAGCTCTCCGCTCCTATTTGTGGGGTCTTCCTGAGTGCTTCAGGAACCAACACAATCTTAATCAGACAGACTGGGGCCAAATCAGCCCATGAAAGGCCCCAAAATAGGAGCGGAGAGCTACTCCCAGAGTAGCTCTCCACTTTGAGGGGGTTGGCACCAGGCCCAAGTTGGAGAGATTTCTGGTTCTCGAGGGCAGGGCTGGGCGGAGAGCTACTCCTAGAGTATCTCGCCGCGATTGGTGTTATCAGCCAAGAATCTCGCCGCTGGAAACAGTGAAGGACCACAATCTCGCCGCTGGGCAAGCGAGTTTGCAAATATCTCGCCGCCTGGCTGTCCTAAATCCGAAATGCCTCGCCGGCTATATCTCCCAACATCCGTCCAGTGGGAACCCTGCAAGATGGTTGTGGTATCTCCTGCTTTTCTCCCTCTCATAACCTGCCCAGCCCGCTTTCACCTTGGCAGCATTTTGCAATTTGGCAATTCGGCGCAAGCAGGGCAATGGCTCAACAATGGAGAAACTGGAACGGCAAAAATGACGCACCCCTCCCGCAGAACACCCGTCTCTCAGCAATGTTTCTTCAAAGCAAGCATTCATCCGAAGGCGTTGGTTGCAATATCGCACCTATCGCATCGCACACCAAACTCGTGGATGGAAGAACTAGTAGACAGACAGGTAGATGCAACACAAATGATGCAAGGCCATGCCCCCAGGACCTGCTTGCCGAGGCATCATAGAAATTGCAGGCAATTGAATCCTCATGCTGCCTCATGCTGGAAGGGACGGGCGTCGACACTGATGTGCCTCATTTGTGAATCCATTTTTGTTGCCCGTTGCCACTGGACGCAGCATAAGGAATGAATGGGTAGAGGCAGTTGTGTTTGCTGCATATTTGGGATTCCTGGCCTTTTTGGGTGGTTGGTCATTTGCTCTCACATTGTAGATGTTGCTGCGGAAGCAATGGTAGGTAAGTGCACATCCTCATCTGCCCATGTGTGTTTCGCTTGGGTTCCTAGTCCATGGGAGGAAGGCATGCATCCTGAGTTTGCAGAGGACAATGGTCAGGTATTAAGCAGTCAAAACAAAGATCCCCAAAATCCTTCGAGTCAAGGCGACAAGGCGACTGCAGACAAATCTATGCACCTCCCCCGGCCCCCCACAAAGCTAAGCCCTGCGACGCAGGCCGTGTTGGACGTCCTCACGCGCCGCCTGAAAATTTGCCGCGGCGGCGTCGCGTCCGTTGCCTTTCCGGGACCCGCGGAACGGCTGCATGCGGTTCGGCGGTCGGCATGTTTTAGCCGCTATGTTCTTGACTGCTATTGGGTTGGATCTTTAGACTTTAACTTTTTGGAAAATCAAGGTGTTTTCCACTAAACCCCCAAAAAGTTAAACTTTTTGCAGGGGGTCAACAGCAACCAAGTGTTGTACTTCGGTTTGCGTGTTTTGTGGTTAGTTGTATGCCAGCCTTGCAATGTACCAGACATCGCGAAGCCAAAGACCGTGCGAACCAGTAGCTTCAGTCATAAGACTGCCGCGCAAAAAGTGTGCGTGGCAAGCGTCTCAAGAAGGCAGTCTTGCGGTTTTATCTTGTCACATGGAGGCGTTCTCCAGAATTTCTGTGACACATCCCACGAGGGCTGCGCTTTGCCATGCGGGTGTCCCTATGCACCCCTTGGAGCTGGCCAAGCGTGCGTATTTTCGTTGTTTTCAGGTCCTGTGTGTTCTAAGCTGGAGCCAAAAGATCGAACTCAGGCTATACCACGACATGGCCTACTTGTGCCATGTGTTTGGTCTGTTTGGCGCTTTCCAGGGCATCCGGCTCGGAACACAGAGCATGGCTTCCTCCAAAGAGGAAGTGATGGCAAAGGTGGGAGGAAGAGGCCGTGATGGAATGTGGAGTGTATGTAGACCCTTGGCTGATTTGCGGGAAGCATCCCTCACTTTAGGCCCTTAGGCTGCAGCTGGAACAGAATCACGCGATGGCGGCTTTCGGGTGCTCATGTTCCCAAGCGAAGTCCCAGAAAGCGAAGTCCCTCATGGAGCTCAAGCAAACACGTCCAAGTGATGCCGCATGTGACTTGAGGCCGTGTAAAATGTGTTCTTTGGATCAAGTCTTTGGCTGAACTTTGGCTCTCTCCTTGAGCAGTAAGTCGCACAGTTGGAGCCCACTTGTTTGGCTTGCTGGCTTCTTGCTTCCCAACAAGGGGAATCTAGTTAAATCAACACAGCACCGCATGAACATAAACTGGGACGAAGGCTGTGACGATGTGACAGGTGTCATTGCGGCGGATGCATTTTGTTGCACCCACCACTTTTGCCAAGCAGCTCTTTCTTAGCGTATCACCTGGAGGCCTTCTGAGGCATGGAATAAGCTATGGCACCTCCCATGTCAGAAGCTCCGATTTGAAACAGCTAGAGCCACAGGCGAATTCCAGACGAAAAAAGTCCGGGCGGTGCGCAATGAGCATGGATCCGTCTTCCGCTCACTGCGTCGCATGGGAATGCTCTACCCAGCTACCTCATGGGGAAGCTTCTCAGGGGCTAATTGCCTAAGTTCCTTGGCCTCAGTCATGACCAGAAATTCACTGACTGTATCATGGAGATCTGACATGTTGCCTCACTCAACTTGAACATAGAACTTGTGGTGATGTTTCCGCATTTAGGACGAATCGAAGAACTCATTTGGCTAAAGCGCTTTCAAAGCCGCTTACAACAAGGTCATTCTGTCGAAGTCAGCTGCACACATGTTGGCCAGAGGGGTGCTCGGACGAAAGACCCTGAGGATGCTGATGCCATGTTTTCCACAGTGTTGCCCAACATGAAACATTTAGCAAAGGCGAAACCTGCAGAAGATTCAGAGATCCTGCCGGTGTTAGCTTGCCAGGTGCACACAAACCCCAAAACAATGAAGGAGTTGCTGGCATCTTGGATGTATTCTATCAGGCACCATGAGGTATGGTGTATTGGCCAGTGCTTTTGCAGTCTTGTGCCAATATATGGGTCTCTGTTTTTCGAGGGTTCTTTTTTCCGGGATAAAGATGAAGCCTAACCTTCTGCTGCAGCCACGTCTGGTTTAGCTCTGTTCTCCCTGAATGGGAGAACCCTTGTGCCTCCTTTGTGGCGGGAGGTTTGGGAATCATGGTGTGATGTCTGCGTGAAGCCCGGCTGAGGATCAGCCTCCTGAAGGGGTTCTCACACGAGCTTCTGACTTTGGGGCGATCTCCCGCCGTGTGCCGCCCCAGCCCAGCCCTCCTGCTGCCCCTGGCTTGGGAGTGCTCGAGGTGAGGACGCTGGTCTTGGGCCTCATTCCGGGTTTTGTTCAGGTGAGGGGCCCCGAAGGCGATCCATTTCTTGCAGACCTCGAAAAGCTGACAAGAGGCTGCGAGCAGAGACGCTGCCCCGAGATCGCTGTGTCCTCTTGTTTCGCTCCGCTTGACTCGAGCACTGAGACGCCTTCTACAAGCCAAATGAGCGAAGACATCCTTGTGGTGCGCGCCGTGATCGGCGCCGTTCACATCTGCGTTTGGATCGCGCTGGACCGCCCAGAAGTGCGCTGCTGCCACTGGACGCAGCCGCGGCACGCCATCCAGGCGACGCTGCCATGCGCACTGCGACCGCTGCCTCTGCGCGGCATGCAGAAGACGAGACTGGCCAAACAGACTTCATGCACTCGGTCCACGCGGAGCTCGCCGAGTAGGAGACGCAGGATGAGGGAGCGGTCTCGGAACCTGAGGAGGAGATTCTAACTAAAGAAGAAAAGAGTGAGGAGATAAGCAATCTTTTAGGTTTCAACAAAAACGTCCACCTCAGCGTGGTTCCTGGGTCCTGCCAGGGAGTTCCTGAATCTGTTGGGCATTGTGCAGCATGTTCATAGGATGGTGATCAGGGAGGCAACTTCTTTTTTCTCCTGGTAGGCGGGACACCCGCGCCTCTTGTTCAGCAACTTTTCTCTCAAAGCAGGATGTGGAGCTGGCCGCCAGGCTGGAGGGTAAGGTGTGTGGAGCGACTAGGAGCCCGAATGCAAGTGCCAGCTGCCTTTGTCTGCAAACTTTGGATGAGAGCCCAATAGCCCGCTTCTGGAGCAAAGTGCTGAAGCACTCCTCTTGGAACTCCTATTCGGGGACTGGGCGCTCCAAGTCATAGCTGGAGGCCTTTGCTTTGCTCCTTGTTTGAAGTGCAATCTGGTCGAACCTCAACGGATACTTCCCAGTATAACGCGCGCCCAAAACGCTCGGTTTCAAGACCCTGCATGGCCTCTGCTCTTGCATCTGGCAAGTTCCTTGCAGGACGGCACCCAGCAAAAAGATCCGCCCGAGAGAACCAGGATGGCACCCAGCAAAAAGATCTGCTCAAGAGCCTCTGAACCATATGGAATTCAGGAGCTGCTGGGATTTTTTAATCACTGCAAGCAACACTTCTACGACCGGGGGAGGCATCCCGGGCTGACGTCTTTCTGTAAAGCGCTCGGGCGTTGAGAGTTGCGTGCGGAGGAGGCGCTAAATGGGGGCATGGGGTTTGGGAAGGGTTTGCGGGAAGGGTCCCTTGAACCGAAATGCGAAAGAGGGTTAGTTTCCCTTCTTAAGGGTCAGTATTTGATTGACAAATTCCGACTTGCTGCGCGCAGAAATGGAAAGGCGGACATCTTTGGCAACCCGTTTCGGGGATAGAGATGAAGCCTTTTCTCCGGTCCCAGGGAAGGGTCCCATGAACCGAAATGCGAAAAAGGGACAGTTTCTAATTCCGACTTGCTGCGCGCAGAATCGGAAAGACGGACATATATATATATATATAGATATTAGTCCCGTATAGAATTGACGACAGCTTTGAGCTGCAGATCGCCAACCAACTCGAAGTTGTCGCAAAGAACGTTTAGAAGCTGAGGGCCTCTATCAGCATGAAGCAAGGGGTGGAAGATTGCCTTGGTTTCCTTTCATCCCCTTTCCGATTTCCTCACGCCAATCAGTCTTTGGGAACACACTTGTTTGTTCAGCCGCTCCTTTTGCTGTGGGGGCGGGGGGGGGTTTTGGGGGTCAGGATGGGGACAAGCTGCTGAAGCCTCTGAAGCAAGGCACCAAGGCGGGGAATTGAAGACGTCCACTTTCATGCACCTTCATAGGGCCAGGAATCGTGGATTGGCTTCGTGGCGCATTTCACCATGCCTTCAATTCTCCGTAAGGTCAACAGGCATGAAGCCGGGAGTGCATTGTTTGCCGTTTTTGTCGTGAGATTTGGGTTAAGCCTGCCGCATCGTCAGAAGCCAACATAGCTGAGCCTCACACGGTCATGTTGTAGTTATGAGCAAGCCTGAAGCTTGGAAACAAATGAGCTGAAGCTAGGATACCATATCTCCCATTACTTCGAGAAGATACCGGGAGCCAACTATGTTTTTGTTTATTCAAGATGCATTTGCTCGAGCGCACCCTATCATCACTTAGCTGTTCGGTTCCTCAGCCAACCAACCTGAAGAATGAAGAGGCGTGGTTGGCCCTTGGAAGCCATGCTTGGGAGTCAATGAGAGGTCTGGCAAGTCGCGACTCTGATTCGTCAAGCAAGGGAATTCATGCAAGGCGATGAGCTATCACCACTTTGCACGAGTGCGTTTGTTTGGATTCCTAGTCAGATCTGTTTAGCCCTCTAGCCAGTGAGAGAGAACTGCTTGAATGGGCTGCCATGGTCCTTTTGCAGACAATGCAGCTCACTTTCTGCATTGGGGCATGATGGGACTCGCGCGCCCGTTCGCAGCCAAAAGTGCCAAGTGGGGACGCTCTTTGCGTCTCTCCAAACGAGATCTCCCTTGTGTTGCTTGAGCAGTTCGGATCAGGCTCTTGTTCAAGAAGTGCGTATTTCTTGCTGTTCAAGAATCTTTCTGAGTGTCCCGTTGCAGGCTGTGTGTAATCCAAAGATCTCACTTGGACCCATACTGTCTCACGTTTTTTTTCGCACTGCTGAGTTTGCGCGGAGCCCCAGTTGTGCCAGAGACGAACGCATGCACCCTGAAGACAGATTTCAAGGAGTCGCTTTTCTTAGAGCGCTGTGGAAAACAAAACAAGCGACAAGCAGGGGCTTACTAATCCTAGATGCGTCTCTCGCAGCTCGGCAGGATACCTTCGGAATAGCTTGGCGAGCAGACGCTGTGAGTGGTTGGCCCCTTTTCAGATATTGTTTCTTACTCCACCTGCTGAGGTCCATCAGTTCAACATATTCGAGACCACCAAGTCTCCTGGAAAGTTGCATTATTCAACCCCTAACTGGCCCTTCCCTCCCTTCGAGGTTTTCGGGTTCCTCAAAGTCAGGCCCGCTTTGGGTCTTCAAGGCCTAGCTGGCGAGACACCAGTCCTGAGTCCTGAGTCCTGAGGCCCGCCATGGCTGCAACTTCCAAGGCGCATCGTTGTGGGGCGGCAGGAATGCATTTGGAGTATTGACGCTTAGCTATCTAGGTGGTTAGGACATTTACTGGTTGCGGGTCAAGAATGATGGATTGCAACTGTGCAGACCGGCAGTCAACAAGCCGTTTGTTTGATCCATGACGAATTTCGCTATGATTTGGTTTCGTGTTAATGTGTGGTGTTTGTGTCGTTTGTGTTTGTCGTTTGTTGTTTGATTCTTTGATTGATTGTTTGTGCCAAACAAACAGATTTAATGATTGTGTGGAAGGGTGAGCACATTGGCTTGCAAAGCGAGCGTTCTGGACTAACAGCTTAACCTAAGCGTAGAGCTGGGAGGTTTCGAGCCTCTGACCTTTGTTCTCATGTTTGCGTGCTTGTTTGTTGTTTGCTCTTCGATTTGCTTGTGTTTCTTGGCCTGCTTGTCGATCAGTGAGATACGCGAGAAAGGATTGCAGTTTGTTTTCGACCTGCAAACTGTGTCAGGGGAGATCATCATTGAGAGTTAGGCACAAGGTTTGGGTGACCCCTCCAATGCAGACCCCCGGACCCTCCAATGGAGAATCCCGACCCCTCAAAGGCCCTCAAAGACAACCCATTTGGAGGGCCCAAAAACAGTTGGGACCCTTAAAGTTTTGTTTTTTGGTGTTTATGTTTGCTGTTTGTTGTTTTTGTTTGCTTGTTTGTCTGTCTGTCTGTCTGTTTATTTGTTTGTTTGTCTGTCTGTCTGTTTATTTATTTGTTTGTTTGTTTGTTTGTCTGTGTGTTTCATTCTCAGCATCACTCCGTTGTAAAGTATGTGCACGTTGTTTGTCAAGGCGGAGTGATGTATTTCTCCGGGTTGTCGGCCGGCAAAGCGTCCGAAGCCTGAGATGCAGACAGAACTGTTTTGGTAGATCCAGGTGCCTTCCAGTTGGTGTCGCCGACAAACATGAACCCTGGGCATGGCGCTTTCTTTCTTTCTTTCTTTCTTTCTTTCTTTCCTTTCTTTCCTTCTTTCTTTCCTTGTTTTGCTCTTTGTATTTTCTTAGTCCTAGCGGTTGCTTGCTTGTTTGCTTCCTTGCCTGTCAGTTTCTTGATTGAAGGAAGGTTGCTAAATCATTCTGATATGGGTGTGGGTCACCACCCAGATACCCGTTTTTGGGTAACCCGTGTGTAGTTCATTTTGAAAGGGAATCTCGGGGGTAGGGGGGTACCAGGGTCTTGGCCCGCAGCCATAGGCTTCCTGCACCACGTATGATGGCTGGTCCGTCCTCAGCCCTTCAGGCGAAGTCCCGGGCACCTTATGTGAACCTCTTCGACCTGCCGGAGCGGGGCACAAGACACGAGTTGCCCCAGTTGTTGCGTGCATTCTATTCTCGAAAAGTCTTAGTTTGTTTTGTTTTGTTCGTTTTGTTTGTTTGCTTGTTGGGTTCCGCACCAAAATTGTGGGCGTCAGACTCACTGGGCAGCTGGGCCCAATGGGTGTCCGTCCTTTTTGATGGTACCCATTTAGGGGTCGCTCGAAGGGAAGTCTTCAAATGTGAGGGTTGCCCGTGTTGAAGACAAACCCCAATGGACTAGTTTGCTGTTCTGGTGCCGCCAGTGAAATCACGTTTGAGGGTCTCAATTTACGTCGCAAAGTTGCCTTTTTCAGACCTCAACGTGTAGATGAGAACAGGTTGATTCGTTTGGTGGAAGCATTGAATATTGTGCGTGGACCCCCCCAAAGAAAAGACAAGAACTACGTTTTTCTGCAGGAGCAAGTCCCTCAACAGGTTCCTTCTCAGGACTTTCACCTGCAACACGTGGGAATTCACAGTTGCTTCACAAAAAGAGGTTCCCCTACAAATTCACTTTCGTGTACGACGGTTCTGCAGCTGCCATGCTTGAACAACTGCAGGTTGCTCAACCACACCGCCTTCAAATGAACAGAACAAGTTGCATCAATGAGAGAGCTGGGGTAGAGATAGGATACTTGTTGAGTTCAGATGGCTGAAACGGAGCACACTACGGAATAGTTGTTGTTTTTGTTTCTCCCCGACTGCGAGACACCATTCACGATTTGCTTGCCTCGTTGGTGGATTGCGAACCATCCAGCTTGACCAAACCGAACTCCTTGTCCCTGAGTGGAGGGAGTGGAAAGAAGGGTGGGAGTGGGAGGGGAGGGGAGGAGAGGGAAGGACAGAGAGAGAGAGAGAGAGAGAGAAAAACTGTGAAGTCCAACCCATCACCACAGCACTTGCACGACACACTGCCACAATTGCCGTCCTGCGCATTCATTGACCATGTGCCCCAACCATGATTCCTGCCACCCTTTGCAAAAAGGGAGAACGCATCTAGTCTCAAAATGGTGACCCCCCAAGAAGAAAAGTGTTTTGTTCCTTCAAAACAACCCCAACTAAGAAGGCTGATTTCAAAGAAGAGCCCCATATCCGCGAGACGACGCGGGAGTTGCAACCAACTTCAACTGGTTTCTTCAAGAGCCGTTTGAAAAGTCATGCACTTGCTACCCACAATACACCTTGTGCTGGGGGATCTCCCACAGGCCCTTGTGAGAAACAAGGTATTTTGATTGCTACTTGGGACAACATGGACAACAGGATACAAGACGTGAAGTTGGCTTGTTTCACATGTAAGTTGTATGGTTTCTTCGCATATGAGCCACGGTCGAAATATGCGTAGATCGCTTTAGTAAAGAGAGGTTGGTTTTAGCATGAATTTGTGGAGAACCTCGCAAAACGATAGGGCCCACCAAAAACGATAACATGGTTTGTGATAAACGTTTGTCGCGCTTGCGCATTTCTAGTCAAGACAGCAGTAGGCAGCAGGAAAGTGGAAGCAAGTGTACTTCGCGTTCTAGACTTGCTCTACCTAGTTGCAATTTTCGAGCTGGAGCTGCGAAGGTTTACTTCGCATAGACTTGTGCTACAAAGTTGCGATTTTCAAAGTCGCGCTGTTCGAGCTGGAGGTGTGGAAGTGGACTTCGCCTACTGGACTTGTACAAAGGTGCCGCCATTGTCTCGCAGAACGGTCAACTTGGTGTGTTGGATGCTCAAAAACCAACGTGGTGCGAGACATAAGCAAAAATGCGGTAAAACGACAGGGCCCCCACCAAAAACGATAACTACATAAAAACCTCCTTGACGAAGACAAGTGATTTTTGACGGTAGCTCGTATACGTTTCAAGATGTGTGTGTGTGTGTGCGTGTGTGTGTGTGTGTGTGTGTGTGTGTGTGTGTGTGTGTGTGTGTGTGTGTGTGTGTGTGTGTGTGTGTGTGTGTGTGTTTGTGTTTGTGTTTGTGTTTGTGTTTGTGTTTGTGTTTGTGTTTGTGTTTGTGTTTGTGTTTGTGTTTGTCTTTGTGTTTTGTGTTTTGTGTTTTGTGTTTTGTGTTTTGTGTTTTGTGTTTGTGTTTGTGTGTGTTTGTGTTTGTGTTTGTGGTTGTGGTTGTGGTTGTGGTTGTGGTTGTGGTTGTGGCTGTGGTTGTGGCTGCGGCTGTGTTTGTGTTTGTGTTTGTGTTTGTGGTTGTGGTTGTGGTTGTGGTTGTGGTTGTGTTTGTGGTTGTGTGTGTGTGTGTGTTTGTGTTTTGTTTGTGTGTGTGTGCGTGTGTTTGTCTGTCTTTGTCTCTGTCTTTGTCTCTGTTTGTGTCTGTGTTTGTCTCTGTATGCCTGCGTGTGTGTGAGTCTCTCTGTGTATGTGCGTGTGTGTGTGTGTGTGTGTGTGTGTGTGTGTGTGTGTGTGTGTGTGTGTGTGTGTGTGTGTGTGTGTGTGTGTGTGTGTGTGTGTGTGTGTGCGCCTCTGTGTGCGTGTGTGTGTTGTTGGGGTGCCCTGTTTAGATTGGTTTACAGGGAACCACTTCAGAAACATCGCTAATATCTGGGAGGTGTCCGGTTCTTGGTATATCCCCATGCTGTGGAGGGACCAAATCCATCTCGCACCACCTAAGAAACCTTGGAATCATGATTCCCCCCCCCCCCCCGCCCCCGCAAATACCCACAAACCAATGGATGTTCCATGGTTTCTTAGGTGCCGCGGTCCATGGATCTCGTCCACCCGCAGGATCCCCCGCCCAACTTGGGGGGAGGGTGCGCGCGCGAGTTCCGCGAGTTCCGCGCGCGGGTTCCGCGCGAGGAGCTGATGCCGGGGGCCCAGCCCTCGGCCAACCCGGCGCAGCGGGAGGAGTTCGAGCAGCGCTGCCGCCGGGGCGCCCGCGAGTCGACTCGAGTCGAGCGAGGCGACTCGTTGGGCGAGACGTCGTTGGGACGGTTTTTGGCGAGCCTCGAAGTAATTCGCCGCGTTTTCGGCTTTTGGGGAGTTGGGGTAAAAAGGGCTTGGGGAAGTTGAACCGTCCGGTTTCTTTGTTATTTTGTTGATCTTTTCTGTTGGTTTGGTGGGGGTTCCATTTGCCCACTAAATGTTGAACTTGTAGCAGGGGATCTGAGGACAGCCCAGAAGGGAAGCTTAAGGGAAGCAACCAATTTTGTGTTACCATGCTTCGACAAGCCCATGCGTCGAAATTTGGTTGCCATCCCAAAAAGAGAACACCCAGAGCAACACATGTCACATACCCATATGTCGACCTGCAGTGGTGCATTGTTGGGAGGCGGTCTCCCTGTAAGATCAATCAGCGAACATGGGTGCCCATATTATTGTGTGCCTTTTCAGGTCGGTTTGAAGGGGCACAAAAAGGAAAGCCAGTATTTTGCCCCCTCACCAGGAACTATCTTGAAGGTGTGTGATAGAAAGTCCCATGATGTCAACACTCAGGTCCCAAACAACAAACGGACAGAAGCTGTCCTGGAAGTACAGGCACGTGCTGGAGGATCACCCTCGAGTAACTTCAAAGCGGTGCAAGCATCCGCGCAGGCGTCTCAACATAACGCTCGGCATCCGAGCAAACGCAGCCCAAAAGGAGCTTTGCCAGCAGAAGAAGTGCATGAAGGGCTTCAAGGTCGGCCGAGCTGAGGCCAACTTCACCGTGATGAGGAGAAGGAGAGACTGGAGCGCCAACACGAGCAGAGCAACTTGGGTGCAAAGGCAGTTGACCTGCAAAGGACATTTCATGGCGGCGGTTGCAGCTTCTGTCACCCGCATCGGCGCCTGTTCCGATTTTCTTTGGCTGGTTGCGAGGAGTGGCTTTGCTGTCCTGATGTTTGAGTTGTACCTCCCCGAGAGCTTTCAACACGCAAGTTGTGCATGGGGTACAAGGCGCTTGATTTAAGTACCTGGTGGATTGGCAGGCAAAGATATCAAGTTTGTTGGGCCTAGCAACGAAAGTAGATTGCTATTCATGTGTTTGACCATTGCAGGAACCCAGCTTCACTTTGAACCTGACCAGTTTGGAGCTTGAACTGCAGTTGAATTGATGCAGCAACTTGTTTCTCCGATGAGTTTGGAGGAGCGTTCGATTCAACCGGAAATTCCCTAAACGATGTCCATCAAAAGGTCCGGGACCCATGAAATTTTACACAAATACCCCATGTTTGCACCTTCAAGTCTTTGGATTGGAGGTTCTTTTGGTGCGGATGTTTGGGCTAAGGCATGACAGCCGCGGCCAGGGAGCAAGCTTCAGTGAGTGAGCTGCAGGCGAGGGAGGACTTGGGTTTCTGCTTGGTTTCCCTTTAAACCAGGCGGGTACGATCTCGCCCATGGCGCCAGAGGTGTGCGCAAGAACAGCATGAGCTGAAATCCCTTCGGAAAATTCGAGATGCTCGCGAAGATGCTGAAGAGGAAACTGCTGTTGGTTTCAGTGCCCCTCAAAGAAGCACGCACATCTCCCCCAGGAGTGCATAGAAGTTATAGGCAGGGTAAGGTCATGCTATTTGAATGCAGACTGTGCAAAGGCATTGTTTGCTTTCTTTGCCTTGATAAATCTCGTGGCAAATAGGGAAAGAAATCCATCACCAAGTTCGGAAGCATGCATACGTGAGGCACAAGTAAATGGTGTGGCTTCCATGGACAAATGAGCCACAAAGCCGTCAAAACAATGGCGAAAGCATGCCGACGGGCTTCCGTTCACATAGGAAGAACTACAGTCTGATTGTGACTCCCCCTCAGGAGGGGCCCTCGAAGAGCAGGTAACTTCATTGGCTTTGTTGCGTATGAACATGTGCAGTGGGCAGCTTTCCTGGATGCTAGCCTTGTTCTTCAATGAGATCAGGAACATTCAGGAACCCCTTGCTTTCAAACCAATCATGATTCAGTGTCCTACCAGATTCTTGGCATGGTATGTCATTTGTGCCAGTCACATCATCAGTGTAGCGGCGCCTGGTGTTGAATTTTGCAGACTTGTGCGATGATAAGCTTAGTTCGTTTGGCAGAGGCGCCCACTATTGACCACAGGCAGCCAAACCGTGTTCGTCAAACTCTCGGGCATTCAGTGGCTTTTTGCATGCACGGTTCACGAACAGCTCTCATGCCATCATTTTCATGTGGGAGGATGATTCTAGGGGTACCTACCCCATTCTTTCCGGGAATCCTTCTTTCTAGAGAACCTTCAGAAACCGAGGGAAAACGGCTGGTTTTTGAAAAGAACAATGGTTGAAAAAAAATGGGGAATCAACCCCTGGAATGATACGCGTTTGTGCCAGGAACCGTCGCATTTTTGTCTGGTCCTTTGGCTGCAAGTCTCCACCCTGAGTTGGAGTGCTCAGCTCCATCCGGTCACGCGGCAGGCCATGTTTCCCACCTTGGATGCTGACTTGATCCGTGCTCCGGCAGAGATGATGCTTGGGGAGGTTATCAGATTCGCGTGGTTGGGTGGGTAGGTGGGTGGGTGGAGCGTGAATTCGAACCTCTAACAATGATCAAAACCAGTAAGTCAGGTCCAACTGTTCATTTGCCTGAATAAGGACCATACATGGAACAAACGATCGTCATGTGGGGCGATGACATGTGCGGCATCACACGAAATGCTTCAATGAAGTGTCTTTGAGGCATTCCGGATTTGCGGGTCACAAGCGGTAAGAATACCGCGACAAGTTGGAACCTTCACTTGGATTTGCAAGCCAGCCTTGTGCATGTCGCCATATGCGGAACCCATGCCAAGGGTCGCAGTGCAAAATCAACGTGCCATGTTTACCGTCGAGGTGTCATCCCATTTGAAGGCATGTTCCGCTTTGGGAACTCCTTTATTGGTGTACTAATACTGCATTTTGTTGTTTGCTTCTGCACAGCAGAGCAGTCGTGGCCATTCCGTTGATGAATGCCCATGGCAATTGCAGATCAAAGATGACCCATCAACTGCCAAAAGCCTTTTGAGCGAGACAGCCCCTTACCGAGGCGTAATCCACGCAGAAGCACCAACGCCTCAAGAAGCCGTGGAGACACTGCTGGCCTTGTCAGTGGATGATGATCAAGCGGCTCGGCTCTCGTTAGGTGTCGCCTGTCAGCAAATTTGATCACGTTCGCATGCTGGGAGAGGTAGGGTTGTCTTAAAGGATCCATCCCATCAACCCTACCCTCCCACCAACGTGGAACCTGACGTTCGAGGTCTTGGAAAAACATTTTCCTTTTTAAGGGAGGTGAATGTGCAGCACATCTCAACAAGTCTAGCCTTGCTTGCCTGCGAGGCCAATGAAACGATTGATGGGGCAAATGGCAAGCAAGGATCACCCCACAAACACCTACCCCAAGCAAAGCCTGTTTGTGGCAGCTTATCCGCAGCATTGCAATTGGTTGCCCGGCTCCTTTCGCTGGTGAAGCTCAAAGCCATGCTGTTGGAGTCACAACAGTCAACCGATGCCACCTGGGCTAGTCATAGGCCAAATCGCCACTTCTTCACCACCAGACCAAAAGTTTTGTTGACGGTTTAGTGATTGGCATTCCCAAGTGTGTACATAGTGCTAGAATTGTTTTCCCCAACCCCAGGGCGTTCCAGATGAATCTCAAGTGCAACTGCGCTGCTCTTTTTCATGTAGACGCGCTTCCGTCTTGGCAATGCACCCAAACGCCCTGTTGGCCAAATTAATGCAGTTCAGCGGTATCCGGATCAAGGTGAGGGTCATTTGCTCTGTACCCCTAGCACTTCTTCCTTCCACCCCCTTGTGGGTGTTGCAAGGAAACTTTCTGCTTGGCCGACAGCTCGGAACGCAACGTGCCACCGCTTCGTTCTCCGGCGACTCTCCGCGGTTTTCGAAGTCTCCGCCAGCCGCGGGCGGCCACTCCACCTCCGCTGGACATGGGCATGGATGCCCGGCGGCTCAGGGGGGTCTGTGGAGGGCGCCCAGTGGATGCCACGTTTTTTTTTGGGGGGTTTCAGGGTTCCCCTTGAAAGTCAGCATAGTGAACCAAAAAGGGAGCCCGATTTTCTTTTTGTTCCATGGAAATCCACTGGGCATCTGAGTGTCTTCGGTGCACTGGCGATAGAAAGAAAGGGTTGCCCTCAGGCCATTGCGAGACTGGAGCCTGGCTGTAGTCAAGTAATCATTTGTTTTTAATGGCCGAGAGCTGATTCTCATGGATCACCTGGGAGTTTACCACGCCAGTCCGGAGACCGGAGATGCTTCAGGCTTGCTCGGGTCTTTGAGCATCCACTGTGACCGTGACTTGAAAAGAATGAGCAGTGGATGTCGCGTCATTGTGAGAGGAGCGAGGAGTAGCTATCCCGGTGCAAGGATTGGTGGTAGGGCTATAGGAAAGACTAGGGACAGTTGCTCAGGGCCATCCTTGTGCATGGCGGTCCTATTGGCCTTCAATCTGTTTGGCTTGTTGCTGTACTCATCCTTTGTTCGGAGCCGTGTGTTTACTCGTACAAGCTGTGATTCAATATTCAAACCTGGCGATGCCTACACATTGCCTGCGCACGATGCCGGCAATGCCTGCTGGCGAGGGTGATTGCCAGATGGGTATCGTGCAAGTAGAAGACGCACCTGCCTGCATTCGAAGCAGAACGTACCAAGCAGCAGCGCGGCGCAACTCCTCAAGTCTCACAGATGTTAGGAACGACCAGCACGTCCCTCAGAGGGTGGAGGGTTGGGGGGGGGGCAGCTTTCGTCGATTTGGCGAACAAGGGAAGGCGTGATTGGAAGGCTGTGTGTTTTGTTGGTAGGGCCGCCCACTTCAAACCTATGCAACCCACCAGCCCAAAACTTCAGCCAGTTGAACAGCTGCTTGTTGCTTTTGTGTTTTATGTTGAATTTGCTTTGCTTTGTGGAAAGTTCCTTTTGCAACACTTGCATGCCAGGATCACGAGAAGTTCCCAGTGTTGACGGACGCCGAAGGCTGGCAGGCGCCCAAATGTCGGTGACGGAATCAGATTATTGAGAAGAGGGTGCACATGTACCTGTTGGTGCTGATTTCCTCCAGAACATCATGGTGTGATACTTGTTGCTTGGCTAGGTTCTGATGCGGTGTGGCGAATGCGCGCACACGCGCACGCGACGCGTATTCGAGCGAGCATGGATCAAATTGAATTATGGTAGCGCTCGTGTTTGTGATCATGCGCCGCGTGTTGTGGCGTTCCTGCAACTCACCTTCGCTGCATCAAGACGACGGCATGTTCGCAACTGTCAAACCTGAGAGACAGCTATCCGTGCCATATCATGTTTGCCCTTGAACAGGCAGGGTTTTGGAATGTGATGTTTAAAACATGTAAAAACAGGTTGTTGTTCAAGCCCTAACATCTTGCCTCTACCTGTCATTTGTCATTTGCGACATTACGAGATCCATGCATTATGACATCAATATTAATATCGCGTAAGTCTTCCTTTGCCATTTTTGTCCGCAACTATGCCGGTTTTGCTTCGTGTGGATTTGTCCACTACAGCCAAATCCAAGCAACGTGCACTGGCTGTTGTGTTTCAAGTCGTCGTGGCACGTTCGCAACCGTGGCACATGTTCCTGCTGCCACATGGGTGGCCTGCGGCCAAATTCTCCAAAGGTGTCAATGGAACGAGCTGGCATCTGAAGATGACTTCCTTGGTGAACGTTTGACACTTCTCCGATCAACCTTTGGTCTGACATAAGGCTCGCAAAGAGCGCGAGCACCTGTAGGGCCCAAGCAAGCGATTTTTTGCAGAGCGCGCGCGTCGGGCTGCCAGGTAGTCAGCCAGAAATTGATCGATGGGAAGAAGGAGGAGGAGCATGAACCGCAGCTTGATCACTGAACTGCCGTGTTTCCAAGCAGCCCGCTACTTTGTGTGATTCAAACGCGTGATTTGATTCATGATGATCTCACCAATCGTGGCACAGTACTTTTCGAACCAAGTGATTCTAAGCCACAATTCTAACCCAATTATCCCCCAAAATAGATGCAAACACAGTTGCCATCGAAGCAGCTCAGGGCTAAAACTTAACTGTTCCCATTTTCTCCCTTTGCCCACTCCCAGCAGCCCACTAGGCCTCTTGCAAGCATGAGCGGTCAGCCTTGCCCTTGTTGTTTTGCCGACATTCATGGCATGAGTCATTGCCAAGGCGACCCTGACAAACACAAAGCCTGTGGCTTCACGGCAAGCATTGAAGCATCCTGATGGCACCGCGGGCCCCTCATCAGCCAACCCACCAAAGTGGTCGCAGCAGTTGTCATCACTTTCGGGAGGAAAGACCAGAAATCCTAGAACATTGGATGCTTGGAAAGAATGGGCTTTAACCGAAAATATAGCCGCATACAATAGTTCCCCATTCTTTCTGGTTTTCCAACTTTCACCCAAAACAGATGCAAAAGCGCAAAAACAAAAAAAACAACCAAACAACAAAACAAAGCGGGGACACACTGATCTCTGATGGAAAGAACGATGCTGGGGGACAGAATGACGGGTTGGGGGAAAAAGGGAAATAATGATGGTTGTGGGGAAAGAACTATAGTTGTGGGGAAAGAACGATGGCCCTGGGGAAAGAACAATGGTTATAGGGAAAGAACGATGTCCCTGAAAAAAGAGCGCTGCCGATAAGAACGATGGCCTGCAGCGGCATGTCTTTGGCAGGTCAGGAAAAGGGTTGTCTAGTCTGTTGCCCCTACCCCTAGCCCGCGGGACAACTTTCTGCATGGCTCGGTCCTCGCTGCAGAGAATCAAAAAACTGTGCCGAAACCGGCTGGAAAGATTGATCGTTGCACTGAGTGCACGTGTGACGAAAGAACGAAAGAATGGGGAATCAACCCTTAGGATGATGGTTTGATGAGGCGACTTGCACGAAAGATTACTGGCGGGGTCCTCACATCGTTGTCCACCGGGACCCGAACAAAATGGTTTAATGGTGGTTTCGTTAGAAATTTATTCAAGCAAGTAGAGCTAAGGGGCCAAGTTCTTGAAGAGCCATAGCGGGAAGTATTGCTGGTATGGTTCATTGGATGTCGGGGTTCTATCAAATCTCCCTGGGCGTCCCTCGGTTTCCTGTAAAAGAGGTAAATGAGCTGGAAGCGCCGAGAGGGCAGTATTTTTTCGAGATGCTCCATTCGAAGGTCAAGTGCAGGGAGCTGGTTTTGTGGGCACAAGGCAAAGGGGCACTCCAGTTCAAACTGTTCGCTTGAAACGTCACTAGATTTTCAACTTTGCACCTCCAGAAAAAAGGTTGCATTGACCACTAAGCCAACTAGCTCAACACCCAAGAAACCGGATGGCCAAGTAGATTTCAGCTAGAAGCGCTAAAACGCTCCGGAAAACATCCCAAAACTAGGGGCCCGCTCAACCTCAGAGACGAACTTAAAAGCCCACTTGGCCATGGGGAACAAAAACACCCCGTATTTTTAGTGAACATCCCAATCCCCACAAAAATAGGTTCTCAAATGGGTGGTGAATTCAGCCAATGCAGTAAGTCATATTGGCCGGTCCCCGCTTTTTTGCTCGGTTTCGGGCGACCACCAGGTGTTGGCTGCAGCGGTCTCCGAGAATCAGCCCTTTTGGTCCCTTTGGTTTTTGCGCGCAGGACCTCGGCAGCGCGTGGTGTGACCGCGCCAAGGCAGACGCGTGTCGGTTGGTTCAATCCTGGTCCTGCGGAACTTTCCGAAGGTTGGCCAAAACGCCTCGGCCAGACAAAGGCAGGTCTAGCCTCGGTGACCAGCCTTCAAGCGACCCTGAACCCATGTTATCACGCTTCATGCCACTCGACTTCGGGAATAACCTTTTTCTGATCCAACCCTCAGCCGATTCCCAGGCCCATCTTGGCTGAACTGAGCCAGAACTGCCCAGAAGCAACCTCAGGCAGCTGATCCGGTCCAACTCTGTCCGAAACAGCCCGTAGCTAGCCTGAAGAAAAAGGGAAACTCTTCCCTGCAGGGCTAGGCAAGAACCAAAGATCCTCACTTGCTTGGAAAGGTGGTCGTTGATGTTTGGTGGCCTCTTCTCACTTCCTGAGTTCCGTTTCGGACTTTAGTCACTTTTTGGGAAGTTAGTGGCAAGCAAACAGTTTGGATTTTTGCGTGGCCAATCGACTCAGGAAGTGAGTCTTTGTAAAGCAGGCCCTGGAGCAATGAAGTGCAGCATAGGTTGTCTTCTGTAGGGGGCCCCGTTGTTTTGGTGGCTTTGAAGAAAGCCAAGAGGAAAACCACCATTGTGTGAGGTCCCCTAAAACGAAGACGAGCCACCCGGATGTCCTAGTTCGGAATGGTCGTGTCCCTCTTGGGCAGGTCTGCACCTCCATTCCCTTTCTGTACTCTTTCGGAACAAGTTCCTTGCTGCCTTAAACATTACAGAAACACGTACCAAAGTACACTTTTTCGCCTTATTTAGTAGCCCGAACATGAACATTTAAACAGGTGTGTCCTAAATGTGGAGTCCCTCGGCATCGTAACGGGGCAATTTCCCCTTTCCCCTCAAACCACCCATAACGCCCAACATGTTGGCTCCTTGAGTTTCTCTTCAAACCGCAAAAAGGGCACCGACTCCCAAAACAAGGCCCCCAACCCACACCCCCTGCCCCCCTCCCCAACCACACCCTGCACCCCCACCCCAACCACACCCACCCCCACCAACTCCTCCCGCCAGCGGTGGGACTGAGGCCGTTCAGCACATGCCGGCGGCTCCGGTGCCGCAGCCAGCGGCTCCGTTGCCGAAGCGCAAGGCCAAGAAGGAGGACTTTTCCGGAGCGAGCGAGTCATGGGCGTAGTTTTCTTTTCTTTTGTTTCTTCTTTTTTTGTTAGTTTCCTTTTTTTCCCGGTTGTTTGTTTTTTCTCTTGTTTTTTTTTCCGGTTGTTTTTTTGTTTCTTTCCCCCCGAGGTTGTCCTTTTTGTTTCTTTTCGAGACTGTCCGCTATTTGTTGTTGGTTTGTTTTTACTGGAAGTCCAGAGCCATTTCCCTCTTTGGGACCTCCAAAAGTGGCGATCGTAAGGGAACCCACCCCAGTAGATTGATCAGCTTTGGAAGGAGGAAATCCAGTGACCCCTGTTTACGAGGTTTGGCCAATTTGTTCGGTTGTCCTTTTTTTTTTGAAAACGGCATGCCGAAAGGAAAACCACGTGTTTGGGGAATCTCCAGCTGTTTCAAGGAAGGCCAGAAGAACGCTGCCCATTTCGGCGGTCCATTGACCCATACCCGAATGACGAGTGCGGCCCATGTAGATCAATCCAAGCCACGTAGGCTTCACCGTTGTGCGGAATGTGGGCAGTTCTTACCTATGCCGCCTATACTGACTTGATACCGACTTTGAAAACCTGAAAAAGAAAAGCACGAGCTGATTGTGCTGTACGGCACTGGAGCCTTTTCAAGCTTGACTCAACGCGTTGGAAGCAGGATTCTTTACCCAAAGGCTTGTGAGCGCAACATAATATATCTTCCCCCCCACCTTTGCAAGGGTCCCTTTCATGTGAACAAAGCCGTATTTAAGCAATCCACGTCGGCAGATTTGAACATGCTGGTTTAGTGCACTAGTACATTCGTCAAGGTCATGGGTGAGGTCGACTTAACAGTTCAACACTACCACTAGTCATCAATGCGGAAGTTCCATGAGAGCTCTATGCAGGAGTCGAAGGAGGTGGAGGAAGACGATATCTTGGAGACTGATTACGACTTCCGCCACAGGCGAGATGCATTTGGCAGATGGATTTCCTATCAGGGCTTGCTTTCGCTCACTGCGAGTCTCGAGTAGGATCCCGCTCTTTCACTCGGATATATAATTAGTTAATCCTTATTGGCCCGGCATCAGCCTATTCAGCCAGGTTTGGGTGCAAACCTGAAGCCCGGAAACCCCATTGTTCAAGCAAGCCAAGGGCTTAAGATATGTGGCTTGTGCGCATCGTTCAGACAGACTGCTCAATTGGCTCGATGCGGCATATCCGGATCAGATCCCAACCCTGCAGGCTATTGGGGAAGCGGAACCATCCGGTCACTTGGTGTATGGGTGTGCTTTTGTATCGAGGACCCCCTCCCAAAAAAAAATGAATGGTGATTTTCCTTGTGGCCAAAAGGGGTCCCTTCAAAGGCAGACCAATATATTGTGAATATTGTTGACATGGATTTGTGTATTGTTGTATTGGCATCATTCCATATGAACTACACTAATATGCAGGAACAAAGGAATGGTGGAGCCCGTGAAAGTCGCAAGCAATAAACAAAAAGCTTGGGGTCTCCTAGTCTCATCACCGGTTTATTTGACATGACTAGTGGGACGTGGTGCAGAAGACGAAATGAGTACAGACCGATGAGCCGGACAAGGTACCCCAAGTTGGCATGCACTTCAGTCCGTGGCGGCTGTTTCTTCTCGACCTAGTCGTGAACTTGTCAGCCAAGAAATACGGCACATCCTCGTCGATACCGAAGCAACTGAGTAAACGTCCCAGACGTGAACAAGATCAATACTTCTCGCAGTCAGACCTGTCGGAGCATAAAAGTTGAGCCATAGCCAACACTGGCAAGTGGAGGCCTTTGTCGTTCGTTAGATGTTCTGTCGACTTCAATTAGTTGCCGGGTGTTTATTGCGACTCAGGTGATGGCAGCATTGAATGCTGCTGGTTTAGCCGCTGGGCATGTCACGTCGTTCCTTGCAAATTAATTGTACGCGACGTTGCGAGAGACAGAGAGGGGCAGAGCAAGCAAGTCATGAACAGCGCTTTTCTTGGCAGACGGCAGATGCTTGCAAAAGCTCAAAGTGATAGGTTGTCACGCAGGCAGAAAGTCGCCGCGTTGATAGTGTAGTCTGAACATGTCTCAACCTTATCCCTTTGGAGGCTCTCAAAAAAGGTATGCAAGCTGCCTATTGCGCAGGATCGGCCAGAACCGTGCCAAGGCCCGCGCGAGGCCGGGTCACTGGAAAGGTCTTAGGATGTGGCGACTGCCAATGGTGATGTGCATCACAAAGATTGCTGCCTTGCTTGCTTGCTTGCTTGCTTGCTTGCTTGCTTGCTTGCTTGCTTGCTTGCTTGCTTGCTTGCTTGCTTGCTTGCTTGCTTGCTTGCTTGCTTGCTTGCTTGCTTGCTTGCTTGCTTGCTTGCTTGCTTGCTTGCTTGCTTGCTTGCTTGCTTGCTTGCTTGCTTGCTTGCTTGCTTGCTTGCTTGCTTGCTTGCTTGCTTGCTTGCTTGCTTGCTTGCTTGCTTGCTTGCTTGCTTGCTTGCTTGCTTGCTTGCTTGCTTGCTTGTTCTTGCTTGCTTGCTTGCTTGCTTGCTTGTTTGCTTGCTTGCTTGCTTGCCGCTTGGTTGCCTTCTTGCCGCGGTTGATAAAGACCCAATGGTTTTTGAGGGGACACGAACGAGAACTGTTGGAACAAAGAGGCTCCGCTTTCAGCGAGGTTCGGACGTGGAGCAGGCCGCGGAAACGCCCGGGACCTTTCGGAGGGGTCGGTTGAGGCCGGTTGAGGCCGGAGGGTGCCAGAATTGGGGTCGTTTCTTAGACTTTTGGGTTCACAAGACAGACTTTGGAAAAGGAAGCCAAAACACAACCGCACGTAAAGGGGGGTCTGGCCGAGGCAGGCCGTGTTTGATCTTTTGAGGACTTTGAGCTTTTGATGGGTGCCAAGTGGGATTCCGGTGAAAATGAGTGGACCAACTTGCTTCCGAAGGGATACTTTTCAGGTTTTCGAGTGAGCGATGAGGAACACACCCAAAGGCTTGACAATGGTCGTGAGCTTTTCGCATCAAGGAACTAGGAAATGTGTTTTTTGTTAACAGCTGGAAGCTTTGGGGTCTCAGCCCAGATAGGCTCCCGGGTGGTCCGGGGCGGCCCTGAGGTAAGGTTCCACGAGGGTTCCACCAGGGTTCCACCAGGGGTTCCACGAGGTTCTGCGAGGGCTGCGGGGTGGTGCGAGCACTGAAAAGAGCACCGCATGCTGTTGGGGATATCACCTGAGCTTATTTTATTTTTTGACGATACCAGTTTTTCCCAACAGCTGAAAGCTAAGGGGTCACAGCCCAGATAAGGTTTGGGGGTGGCTCGGGGGAGCTCTGGAGTCATGTTCGAGCAAGGTTCTGGAGGTTCCGAGGTGGTCTAGCGCAGGCCAGGTGGAAGCAAGCTGGTGCAGGCCAGGTGACAAGGCCAGGCAAGGTTCCGGGCGGAGTAAGGGTTCAAGCAATGGTTCCAGAGGTCAGAGTGTCTGGTGCAGAACAGGCCAGCGTAAGGTTCAAGGAAGTGGTTTGGTGCAGGTATAATAATAATGGTTCAAGGAAGGTTTGGGGTCTCAGCCCTGATACCGCGGCTCTGAGGCTACTTGCAGGGTTTGACGAGCGTTGCGAGGGCTCTGGTGGTCTGGGGCGGCTCTGAGGTAAGGTTTTACAGGGTTTGGCGAGGGTCCAAACAGAGCGCCGCGTGCTGTTGGGGATATCGCCTGGGTTTATTTTGGTGGCTTGAAGGGTAACCAAAGCAGACACTCCTCGACAGCAGACACCCATCTAGACAACCAAGAAGCAATGCTCAGGAGCTTGCTGTGCAACTCATGGTTTTACCGCACGCCAATGTGTGCCCGCAGAGACCCCAGAAGGCACATGAAGTTGAGGGGGAGCAGTCGCAATGGACAGATAGTTCCAGTTGAAACCTGAGTCAACACACGGTGGCCCAAGTGAAGCAGCGAAACCAAACTGGATATGTCTATTCCCATAGCTCTCATTCCCCCTGAACGAACATGTGTGAAAGTCAGGCTAGTTTTTTGTTTGTTTGTTTGTTTGTTTCAAGTTGGCGCTTGGCTGTAAAAAAGCCCCAGTCACGCTAGCTGTTGCTCACTGACCATGCTGCGTGCCTTCACGTTGCACTGGGCAAGCACAACTCCTCCACACAGCTCGGGCACATAGGAGAACACGAAGGGGAACGGGTCCCCAGAAAATGTATTGTCTATTTCCATACGTTTCCACCACTTTCCGCCTCCTCCCACCGTCTCACTGAAGGAAGTGCGACGGCATGGCTTTTTGAGGCCACTCGTCAGTCCACAGAGGCAGAGGACGAAGAGGAGGCAGGCGGATGGGAGGCGCCGCAGGCATCCGCGAAGTTGTGACCGTTTCCTTGGGGATTTTGTGGGGCTTTCAGGGATCCACTCAGGACACGCGAGTTTCAGGTCACTTTAGGGTTTGGCCATTTTGGTACTTGCTTCCTTTTGTTGCTGAGGGGTTGGCTCAAGATTCTCTACTGGAATGAAGCAGCGCAAGACTCTGGACTGCTGCCTGCCATTGGCACAGCGCATGTCGCATGTTACGATTGTTTTGCCATTCAGAAATAGAGAAGACACACAGCCACAGTCTTCCGACCAGGCCAGCCCTGGAAAACTGACACCCGGAGCCAGAAAAATCAATCAATCACGGTTTCAGGAAGTGTTAACAAAATTCGACATTCGTTGTGGAAGCCTGTATTGAAGCAGGCTGAAATTTGTTTTTCTTACTTGTTATTTGGCCTGTGTTTTACCACGGCGTGAAAGGATCTAGAACGGCCCCTTGGCAAGCGAGGCATCTGTGGACGGTTCCAGCTGCACTGATTGGGCTTGAAGCCGTCGAGGAACCCGCGGAGATGCAGACGCTGGCAGGTAGCAGCAAGAACCAGCCGGGGTGGTTAGCACGGTGTGGGTAATCTTGTTGGTATTGCGAGTTCAGGGGAGTGTGTGGTCAAGCAAGTACGGTCGCAACCTGTTTTTCGCAGAAGCCTGCTGCGATCTTTGTGTCTCGGTGGTCTCCACCATTGTGTACAGAGCATGCGTCCGTACACCAAAGTTGTGAGTTGAAAAGAGTTCTACCTATGAAACATGGCAGACCAGCAGCCTTCGGCAGCTGGGAAGGATAACAACTCGGAGTGAGCGGACGCAAGCAGACGGCGTAGTTCGCAAAGTGCAGGAATATGTGCAGAAAAAAGGGTGATCATTACATTCTGAAACACCGGCTGGCAAGGCTCTCATGCGATCCGATCAGTGTTTGCTCGCTGTGCCTGTTTGTCTATCATTGTCCATCCCTCCACCTTCCAAAGGGTGCAAAAAAACCGCCTGTTTAAGCACAAGTAGGTTTTGCTTTGGAACGGCGATCTTGTCAGGGAAGCGGCGATTCTTGATTGGGAAGCGCCGGGCGTGACATGTCACATCGGATGCTCTCAGCTGTCATGGCCTGGGCGCGTTCCTGTTGACTCCCACCCTCCTGCCTTTTTGCGCTCCTAGCACTACAGGTACGTGGCCGTGTGGCCAAAACAGCGAAATAAAAAAGCGCCTTGCACAAAATTGGGCGGCTTCTTCAAGAATTGCTGCTTCAGAAAGACCACTGCTCTGGCTCCTACTGGCGGCGCAGCGGCTTTTGGCTGGCCTGGGCCTTGGCTCGATACCTTCAGTGAAGGGCTCGAGCTTTCACGAGGTAGAGTTGCAACACCCGCTTCAACAATTGCTTTTGATGGCATCGCCTGCTGGTCCTTGAAATCTTGCTAACTAGGTCTTCGTTTTGCTCACAGCTGTGTATGAGCGGGTTTGCTATTTTGATGGCACCTTGCCTCAGGACAGCTTTGATCTCAACAAGTGTGTGGTTGAAAGAATGCATTTGCGAAGAGAGACACCTGCCAGTTGTGCGTAAGTCTGCTGGAACTCATAGCCTGCGTAGACCCTTGCAGCGCAGGCTTGGTCTGACCAAAGCCCATGCTCATATAGAGCACTTGCGGGGATTTTACAGCAATCTCGCTTCCACGGCGCATCATGCGCAAGAGTGGGACGTGGGCTTGATCAAGTGGCGCTTGAATAAAGCCGCCAACGATGGCAACCAACCATTCCAAAATAAGCGCAACATCAGAGCCCTGGACCTTAAACCATGGATAGCTATCCTTTCAGATGGCGCACGCGGGGAGAAGCGAAGTGGGGCAAACACAAACTTGTGATACTCAGCCATCACGCGGGCCCATGTCTCAGCTGGGTCACTTCAAAGGAGGGTGTGAGGGCCGAAGCAAACAGTCAATTGAACTGGCTGCATAGTTGGCCTTACTATTCCTCAGGGAACTTGCGCAGACAATTTTGGGGACTGTGGGGACAACGGAATTCCGTACTCAATTTCTGGCTCAGTACTCCATTTTTTGAGACACTCAATTTCTTTTTGAAGGGGAAATCAGTACTCAATTTCTGAGACAGTGCTAGACCGTCAGCACTTAATTTCTGAGGACAGTTCTGAGGGGGGTCAGTAATAGAATCCTGAGGGGAGGTACCACAAAAACCTCAGCTGGGTCCCCCGAAGCCGAATGAGAAGCTGCGCGGGAAGCAATAGGGCCAACCATCAAATAATTGACAATTGTGTTTCGTGTCTCCTTGAAGCTCCCTTTCAAAGCAATTAATTTACAAATTCCTAATTGAGCCAAGTCTTAGTTTTGTTCTTTCGTTCTCTTGGTCCACGAAAGCCCCTTTGCAACGTGCCGGAGAAAGAATCGTATTGTGACATTGGGAGCGCAAGTTCTGAGGGGAGTTCTCAGAGGGGTCAGCACGACAGTCCTGGGGGGTGAGTACTCAATCACATAGAAAAGTGAGGGCGACTACTAAGGGGCCAAAGAGCTTAAACACAAGCATGAACTTCCTCATGATCCTTGTGGTTCCGCGGAGACTGATTAAAGAAACTTCTTCCGCCCTGGTCACTTGCAAGCAGCTTTTTGGGGCATCCAAGAAAGCAAAAAAAAAAGGAAGCGCATGATGTTTGACCTTGATGTGTCTGCGCAGCATAAGGTCTTTCGTTGGTACTTGTCGGCAACTTGAAGGCGGCTAACATGCACCACGTGGCTGGCTCCAACCCCACTGATTGAGCATTGCGTCCTTCGACACGAACTCTCCTTCAATGATCAACTCATTCCATTTCCATACGGAGTGGCTCGCATACCTGCATGAAGGACCCTAAGATCAGGCGTTTCAGGCTACGGCTAATGAAAGCAAAGGGTCTCTGCAGAATCCACCTCACAGATCTTCTCAATGTGTTTTTTGTGCCCCCTGCCATGCAGTCAGCAATGATGGCTTCGCTTCTTTGAAGGTCCCGTTTACCGCCTTCGAAGCTTTGATCGCCTCGCCGATGCCGACAAGTGCAATTTTCCCGGCAACAGAATCGTCCATGTAAGGGGTTTCATCGTTGTTTTCTTCAGGTTCCTGAAAGTTCCCTTCATCATCTCATCATCTTCCGACTCACACTCATCATCCTCGCCCAACTGCAGGGTGGCTGCGCGATCGAGTTTCCTCTTGAGATCAACCACATCCGCCTCAGCAAGAGAAGTGGGAGATGCTTCCTGGCCAAAGGCGTGGGATCTGCAGGCCAGGAACCTTTGCCCAAGGGAGTCTCTTTGGCAGGGGCGGTGTGGGCAAGGTGTTGACGGCCTGGGAAGGGCATACCCGTAGACCATAATCGCTTAACTGTTTGTACCATCATGTTGCTTTTGCTCCGGGGCCAAGACACAGACTCCGAAAGACTGGGCGGAGCAAGTGGCTGAGCGTCCGTCCACGCTCTCTTTCTTGTTCTTCCGATTCTTGAGTTCCTGGCGTTCCTTCTGGATAGTCTGTTGGTCTTGCTGCCCAGCAAGGAAGAGGCAAGGCGCTTGGAGTTCCATCAGCGTGGCACTGCTCCGCCGAAGTTGGACTTTCCTGCTCCAGCATCCTAAGGCGTCCATGACTGGGCAATGTGATGCAGTGCCGCAGCCAACCCACGGATGCGCAGGCAAGGTGCCCCGTTGCTCGACAGTTCCTCAGCCACACCTGAAACTCCACCTCCGTCAGCGGCCGGATGCTATCCCCTCCCGTTCCAACCTTCAGGTTTGAAAGGGACCAGGGGTGACGGAGAGCTTCGCCAAATACATTCTATGTGTTTTTTCACGCAAACACTCAACTTTTCAAAAAGTGCGACAAATGAAACGGCGATCTTGGGCGACCAGCCGGCGATCTTTCGCGGCCAAACGGCGATCTTTCCCGAACCAGAAATTCGCAACATTTTAGGCCGTGGCTTTGCCCGTTTGACCCCCCAAAGACGGCCAGAAAGGGCAAAAGGGCAAACAGGCAAAGCCACGGCCCAAAATGTTGCGAATTTCTGGTTCGGGAAAGATCGCCGTTTGGCCGCGAAAGATCGCCGGTTGGTCGCCCAAGATTGTGGTTTCATTTTTCGCACTTTTTCAATGGTGTTTGCGTGAAAAAAACATGGAATGTATTTGGCGAAACTCTCCGTCACCCCTGGTCCCGCTCAAACCTGAAGGTTGGAAAGGGAGGGGATATATAGCACCCGGCCGCTGAGGAAGGTGCCTGCGCATCCGCAAGAAAGCTGTTGCAGTGCATCACATTGCCCAGTCATGGACGCGTTACGATGCTGGAGCAGGAAAGGCCAACTTCGGCGGAGCAGTGCCACGCTGGAACTCCAAGCACCTTGCCTTCTCCTTGCTGGGCTGCAAGACCAACGGGCTATCCAGAAGGAACACCAGGAACTCAAGAATCGGAAGAAGGAGAAAGAGAAAGAGTGGACTAAGCCACTTGCTCCGCCCAGTGCTTCGGAGTCTGTGTCTTGGCCTCGGAGCAAAAGCAACATGATGGTATAAACAGTTGAGCGATTATGGTCTACGGGTATGCCCTTCCCAGGCCGTCAACACCTTGCCCAACGTCGCTGCGATCCAAGCGCACGCCGTCCCCTGCCAAAGAGACTCCCTTGGGCAAAGGTTCCTGGCCTGCAGAGCCCACGCCTTTGGCCAGGGAAGCATCTCCCACTACTCTTGCTGAGGCGGATGTGGTTGATCTCAAAAGGAAACTCGATCGCGCAGCCACGCTGCAGTTGGGAGGCTGATGAGTGTGAGTCGGAAGATGATGAAGGGAACTCCCAGGCACGTGAAGAAAACAACGATGAAGTCCCTTACATGGACGATGCTGTTGCCAACAAAAATAAGCCAAAGCCGGGAAAATTGCACTTGTCGGCATCGGCGAGGCGATCAAGGCTTCGAAGGCGGTAAACGGGACTTTCAAAAAGCGAAGCCATCATTGCTGACTGCATGGCACGGGGCACAAAAAACACATTGAGAAGATCTGTGATGTGGATTCTGCAGAGACCCTTTGCTTTCATTAGCCGTAGCCTGAAACGCCTGATCTTAGGGTCCTTCATGCAGGTATGCGAGCCACTCCGTATGGAAATGGAATGAGTTGATCATTGAAGGAGAGTTCGTGTCGAAGGACGCAATGCTCAATCAGTGGGGTTGGAGCCAGCCACGTGGTGCATGTTAGCCGCCTTCAAGTTGCCGACAAGTTCCAGCGAAAGACCTTATGCTGCGCAGACACTTCAAGGTCAAACGTCATGCGCTTCCCTTTTCCCCTTGTTTTCTTGGATCCCTCAAATACCCGCTTGCAAGTGACCAGGGCGGAAGAAGTTTCCCGAATCAGTCTCCGCGGCTCACGAGGATGACGAGGAGGTTGATGCGTGTGTTTAAAATATTTGGCCCCCCAAAACCAAACCGTGAAAAATCACCCTCACTTTTCTATGTGATTGAGTACGCACCCCCCGCTCAGCACTCCTCTCAGAACTTGCGCTCCCAATGTCACAATGCGATTCTTTCTCCGGCACTTTGCAAAGGGGCTTTCGTGGACCAAGAGAACGAAAGAACAAAACTAGTATACATAGCAACCTGATACTTGGCTCTGTCCGGGATTTGTAAATTAATTGCTTTGAAAAGGAGCTTCAAGGAGACACAAAAAATGTTAATTATTTGATGGTTGACCCTATTGCTTCCCGAGCAGTTTCTCAGTCGTCTTCGAGTTTTGGTACCTCCCCTCAGGATTCTATTACTGACCCCCCTCAGACCTCCCCTCAGAAATTGAGTATTGATTTACCTTTCAACAAGAAATTGACTGCCTCAGAAATTGACCCCCCAGAAATTGAGTACGGGATTCCGTTGCCCCCACAGTCCCCAAAATTGATCTGCACAAGTTCCCTGAGGAATAGTAAGGCCAACTATGCAGCCAGTTCAATTGACACGTCTTCATATCCTATTCTGAAGTGACCCAGCTGAGACATGGGCCCGCGTGATGGCTGAGTATCACAAGTTTGTGTTTGCCCCACTTCGCTTCTCCCCTCGTGTGCGCCATCTGAATCAAAGGATAGCTATCCATGGTTTAAGGTCCAGGGCTCTGATGTTACGCTTATTTTGGAATGGTTGGTTGCCATCGTTGGCGGCTTTATTCAAGCGCCACTTGATCAAGCCCACATCCCACTCTTGCGCATGATGCGCCGTGGAAGCGAGATTGCTCGTAAATCCCCGCAAGTGCTTTTTTTGAGCATGGGCTTTGGTCAGACCAAGCCTGCGCTGCAAGGGTCTACGCAGGCTATGAGTTCCAGCAGACTTACGCACAACTGGCAGGTGTCGCTCTTCGGGAACTCAAATTTGCAGGGTGGGCCATGAAGCCAAAAATGCATTATTTCAACCACACACTTGTTGAAATCAAAGCCTTCCTGAGGCAGGGTGCCTTCAACATAGCAAACCCGCTCATACACAGCTGTGAGCAAAACGAAGAAATAGTTGGTAAGATTTCAAGGACATCAAAAGCAATTGTTGAAGCGGGTGTTGCAACTCTACCTCGTGAAAGCTCGAGCCCTTCACCGGAGGTATCGAGCCAAGGCCCAAGCCAGCCAAAAGCCGCTGTGCCGCTAGTAGGAGCCAGAGCAGCGATGAAGGGCAAAACCGAGAGGCGAATGTACGCTTGAACCGGTGGTTTTCTATGTGGCTTTTGTGAAGCGGCAATTCTTGAAGAAACCGCCCAATTTTGCGCAAAGCGCTGTTTTATTTCGCTGTTTCATGAAGCGGCGAAAATTGTGTACCACAAGAATGTCCAGGTCCATACATGGTTCCATTTATTTGAGGTGGGCATGGATTGAATCCCTGCTCACCCTGCTCGATTTGTTTGAGCCACCATGTTCTCTTGGATGCCGTCCTTGAAACACAGTGTGACTTTAAGAAGCATGTATTGTTCAATGGTTTTGCATGTGCATATGTATATATATTTTTGTGTTGATTGAGTGTCCACATTTTAATAGCTCCAAGGTTGGCATAAAGGGAACACTTACAGGGAACACCATTTTGAGGGTCCCCATTTTAACCCACACACACACATTCATACGGGTGTGTCATTTTTTTTGTTTGGGGGGTACCCTTGTTGGTTGGTTTTTTTTGAAGGGCAACCGAACAGCGGAACAACCCAGGCATTTGGGTGGGTCCACCCCGAGAAAAGACCCGCGTTGCCGTGGCCGTGCGGCAGGTGGTGGTCGAGCTGAACTGGGACGTTCCCGCGGACGATGTCGTCCTGGTGGCCGGGCGGCCCGCAGTGAGACTTTGGACCGAGGGCTACGAGTGCCACCCCTGGACCCTGAAACTGCCCGAAGAAAAAAAGGGAAATGCACCCCATACTTTTTGTTGGGCAAGAAACAAACTATTAGGTAGTACCCCATATTTTTGTTGGGCAATAAACAAACTGTTAGGTAGTTTGCACCCATAGTTACGTTGGGCAAGAAAGCATTTGCATAATTAGGTAGTTTGAGGGTCCAGGTGGGAGCTGTTTCGAGGGTACGCTTTGTTTTTTTCCCTTGGTTTAAAACGGGAAACCAGTTGACAGGAATACAACATTACTTTGGGGCCCCCCTTTGACAAATCGCATTGGCTATAGCATCTCATTGAATCTCCTGCACCAGGAGAAACATCCGACCTTTCTGGGCCTCTCCAATACAAGGGGCTGAATAATGTCTAACATTTATGTTCCCATGGTTGTGAGTTGTACTGTAGTTTTATGGCACCCCACAGCTCCATTCTACTTACCCTCCCACCAATTAACATGGAAACTGACGTTCGGGACCGGTTCCTTTAAAAGCAAAATGGTCTTCCAGGACCCCCCCTGTCAGGTTCCATGTTAATCGGTGAGAGGATATTCAGCTCCTGCCCCCTATGCCGCCTGCGAGGATCTGTGGATGAGCTCCGCTTCCCTGGAGAGCCAAAAGTTCATCAAGGACTTCGCGCCAAAGCGCGCCGCCGGGACGCCCGGGCCGGAGAGTCGGATGTGCATGTCCGGCGGTTTGGCGCCCGTGCCATTCTGTTCTGGGAAACGGCTTGAGGCTCCATGGAAGTGTGGCTTCGGTTCGGTTCGGTTTCGGTTTTTGGATACCTATGTGGGCCATCGCGTTCGTGGAATGAATGAATCAATGGATTTATCCAAACGTGAACTGTGGTAAGGTTAGGGACAACATGTTTAGAAAGGGGAGTGGTTAGAGAAGATCTTTGAGGGCTGAGAGCTGGAGGTGCTGAATGAGTACTTGCAGTTCGTGCCTCACTACCATGTATTCAGCATGGAGTCGAGCCAGGACTGACCTGGTTCAAATACTGCTTGCACGCACTGTCAACATTAGCGAGAAAGGTGTACGGAAGCCACTGGCCACTGTCCAGATGTTGCTGTGAAGAACACTTCGGTCGCTTTTTCACAGGGCATTGTGCCTCTACGTAATTTTCCAAGCCATGACTAGCCATCAGGAGGTTCAGCCCACCGAGTGAGTGTATTGGGTCAATCGACTGGTCATATGTTTTAGTCTGTTGAGACATCGAAACGCTTGGCTTATCTTGGCCTCCTCGGTCACCGGTTGTTTCATGACGGATCGGAGCGGTCATCTTCGAGATCTCCATCTCAACCAGGTGGCTCATCTTGTTGTTTGGCGGGTTTCCCTCTAAAAAGGGTCAAACCCGAGTTCCTTTTTTCTATGGTCCAGGGTCACTGGTCAAGACGGCGACTGGGTTCGGCACGGTCGGTGCTGTTCCCGCAGGACTACAAGGAGCTCTGCAGCGATGTCACCGGCCGATTCTGTGCAGAGGAGCGGAGTAAAGGAATTTCTTACCGGAAGGGAGTCTACCATTTTGAGAAACTTCCGAATCATGCCAGTTGGCAATTGGCTCGGAAAAAAGGTCAGGGTCGCCTGCAATGGCTGGTTTCCCAAACTCGGATCGTTGGTCTAAGCTGTCACTCTGTTTCTTCCTGCATGTGGGGTGCGTTGAACTTCGGGCCCCCTTTTGGAGGTCTACGGTCGCAGTCGCAGTTGGCAGCAAAGTAAAGGTTTCGATGTAGGGTCCCATCGCATGTTTTGTATGTAAAGTGCCGGTGTTTTTGCGAGAAGTGTCGTTGATGGTATCTTTTGGGCCGTTCAATCTGCAAGATTCCGAGCACTGCAGCCGCTTTCGTGGCCGTCACTTGACGTGGGCCGCAGGACCCGGATGTCTCCGGCAGCGTCACAGGCAGAGATGTCCTGATGGAGGCGGGAGATTGAAACGTTCAGAACTCCCTCGAATTGGCGGTTTGGATGGGCGGTTTGGGAATTTGAGCCCCCGGCCCCCGGCTTTTGTAGAGGGTAAACGGGATAAGCACCACCAATCCAAACCACCAATGAGAGGGAAACTGAAATTGCTACTTCCAGGGTGAAGGGAACATGGTGGACCTATGGGCCCACGATTCCCACGATCTTCCAAATAGCCCAGTGGAAATTCCCGACGCTTTGGCCAAACTCACTAGGCCTTGGCAGCTGACTGATTTGAGGAGGCATCGAACATGGAAACTTGGGAGCCGACGTGCTCTTGCCATGCCTCATGTGTCTAATAGGACGAAAAAAAAGAGTCCCAGCTGCTGGGCCATTGTGTCTTGATGTATCTTGGTGTGCCAAACGGCTGTTTCAAAGCAACCTTGTCTTCTCTTGTATACTGGGCAAGCAAGGGGAAATTAGACCATGTTTGTTTGGGCCAATGTGTTTCATATGGTGGGTGAGTATTGAGGGAATGGAAGGGAGTCCTAACGGACAGTGTGGTCAGTCTTCTTTGATTGGGCCCAGAGAAAGTCTTTTGGTGCGTGGTGTGGCCAAATCACTTTCATCAGTCCCCATTTTTAGCAGCGCTTCTTGCAGGGCAATCAATGTTCCAGCAAGACCAGCTGACATTGACTTGATCGTTAGGCCCTCTACCAAACATTGCACATGGAAGCTTGTTTTGTTTCTTCCCCCGAATTTGCTTCCAATGGATCAGGTATGATAAGCCTCAAGAGCTGTGTTCAGAACGAGCAGCATGTTGCATTTCAAATGATCGGGCTTCCTAGCTGCATGCCAGCTCGTTAGCTCATTGACTCTCTTTAAGTTGCTTCCGTGCTTAGACTTGGGTTAGTAAGTTATCAGCAACCGTTCGATCACAACCCACTTATAAATCCCCCTAAAAGGGGGCTAACCTAGTCAGTAGTCGGTTCCATCCGGGGTGGCTAACCACTTGCTGACTTGGCAACGCACATCCCAGTAGATCGTCTTTGGGAGAACCGTCGAGTCCAGAGGATGTTCGGCAGCTCTGCATCCACGAGCTAACGGCCATCACCACGGACAAGAGGCTGGCCAGTCCGACGGCAAACCCAACCCCCGGGAGCCCAGTAACTCTGAGATGTGGGATGGATGGTTCTCCAGGTCTGATTGCTTGGGCTTGCTGCGCTTGATCATTTTTCGAATGGGGAGTCCAGGGGGGTCACCTGCTTTGCACGTGCTCCGTCGCGAAGGAGAAAGTCCTCTTCGATGCCGATCCCGCTGGCTGTCCGGCAGAAGTTGCCCTTCTTCTCATCGCAGTGCCTGAACTGCACGGGATTTGATCGAAAGGGCAAACGGAGGGCAAACCCCGTGAGTCATGTTGCCTGAAACCAGCGGTGGGGTCAGTTTTTTGAGTAGCGAGCGTTCATGTTGTGTAGTTTTCTTGGTTTGTTTGATTGGATTGTTGAGGTTGGTAGATGACGCAGTAACTCCCGAAGCAGATGACGCTGCCAGCCGATCCAAACAGAAAGCTCGAATGCCCTCACAGGCTCCCAACCTTGTTCCGGGCCGCCTGGCTGCCGAGACATATTCCGCTGCACAGTCAAAGGCGTTACTTGAAGCCCAGTCTGTACTGAGTTGATGGCATGGCGTGATACAGGTAGGCAGTCCAATTTGCATCAACTTGCTTCTTCGTAGAAGCGTGTTAGCTTTTTTCTTCCAGCCTTACTGGCCTTGCTCTATCCAACAGAAGAAGACACTTTTCCGCCCATGCGATTTGTCTTGTACTGGTTTGCGAGTGTGTGTGTGTGTGTGTGTGGCACTGAGATGGTTTGCCCCACTTTAGAAGTCCTTCTCACGATTAAGGGATTCTGGATGAGAAGCGCTCAAACCGCCGATGCGTAAGGTTGACATGCTCGCTGGCAACCGCGTGAGCTATAGCACGGGTCGCGTAAGCCAAGAACTAGCTCGTGCGTAAGCAGCCTTCCACGACATAGGGACTCATGTGTATTTACAGAGTTGCTCATCTGTTGTCAAAAAGGGAAGGCTTCACGCTCCCCGCGAACAGCAGATCTCTTTTGTGGCAACCACGCTCCAAGTCGTCGTCTTTTTACCGCGGTTTGCCTCGACCCCCCTGCCGCGTCCTTCATTTCCTTTGGCCTCCACTGCTTTCACTCCATCGGCCTCGGGCCTGCCGTCATTGTGAACCAGGGCGCTGTACCGCGTCGCACCCAGGACTCGGCCCCGCTGCATCACCGATTTGTCCTGCCCACGCTCACCGGATCCACAGTATGTTTGATGATGTTCTGCGTGCGGCTGCAGAAAAGACCTTTGCAGCCATCGACTGGAAGCGGGCCACTCTCGAACAGATATATGCGTACTTGTAAGCTGTCTTTTTCCCTCTCTTTTCTGTAAGTGGAGTGGTCCTCAAATTCATTCATGCTTAGTATAGTTCAATCGTGCGCCTTCTTGGACATGTGCATGTGTTGCGTTCGGTCGCTGGTTTTCTCCATAGGCCTTGGGTAGAGCGACTCTCCTAAATGGGGGACCCCCCAAAATGAGTTCAGTTTCCTTTGGATTGCACTTACCATCCTTGGGCGGTCTCCAGCTTAACCATATTGAATAAGACATCCGGCTCGTGTCCCAGGTGGTGGCAGTACGCCTCCATCCTGTTGGATGAGCGGGGGCCCTGGGTGCTTGCGTGCTTGCCACCCACATCCACAAGATGAACAAAAGCTGCCTGGCTCATGCCCCACAGATGCGGCTTGCTTAGCATGGGTGTTAGCCCACGCACGTCGTGCCCGCATTCAGTCGCATTCAGGCAGGAGTTGCTTGGTGATTTTGCACTACGGCTCTGATTTGTTTTTGTCCTTAACAGGCTCGACTCGACTTTACGTGCCGAAAGTTTCGGATGTCCAGCGAAACTACGATTCCCAACTTGCCAGGCCGGACGGTTGAACACACGGGCCCCTTTGACACCTCGCCGTGTTTCTTCTCCATTGTCATGCCGATTGCCAAGCGTCTTGGCATGGGTCGAAACATTTTCAGGCAGGTTGAGGGTGGCCGCGGGTTCCTGTGCAGCTTCAAATCCCTGCACTTGAAGCCAGGGTGCACAAGCCTCTGTAGTGAAACGGCCGCATCTTTTAACTTTGGCCTCTCTCGGAAGCTCGTGGACGTCTGAGAAAAGTACGTGGAAGTCTTTGGGTGTTCGCCACCTCGAGTCATCCAAGTCCGCCTTGGGTCGCCACCTCCCCAGGTGCCCGGTGGACGGCAAGACCTCCGACCGTGCCTTCGGCCCAGAGTGCTCGGCCCGGGTCATGCGGCAGGCGCGGCTATCCAAATGTGGTTGACTTGTTGAAGCCAGCGTCAGTCGGATACGTTGAAACGCTGTTGTTAGCAAATGCACTCAATGAAAGTGTGTTGGTTGTCAAATGATACTTCTGCTAAGATGCGTTTCTGCTCACAACCTCGTCAGCCTGGGCCAGGCAAACACATCCAGCCAGCATGTGTTTGCTCTTCCACCCACTCGCAGAAACTGGGCCACTAGTAGCAAACGTGAAAATGGATCCTCCCCTCCTTGAAAATGGAATTGGTAGGGGAGTGACCCCTGGAGTTGCATTTATGGTTCTGTGATCCCTTTATGGGGAAGACTAGATAAATGGGGGATGTTTCAAGCTTGCCGGCTCGGTAAAGCTTCCTGACTGGCAAACAGTAGCAGTAGACAGGATTCGATTCATTCTCAAGCCAAAATAGGGGCTGCCTCCGTGCCCATGCGGTACTTGTTGGTCAAGCAGTTTCATTTGCCTGTGTGTGGTGGCATTTGAGCAGTGGTGGCTCTACGTGGAACCAGTTTTGGGAGTGTGCTCCATGAATCGTCCAACTTAAGAACATGCGTTGTCATGTAACAAGACGTTCAACAGGAGCCTCTGGTGAAAACCCACCGCCGGGTTCTTGAGCGCTCATTTCTCTTCATGATTAGTTACACCGGTGCCAGGTTGGCATTGACGTGGAGAAGGTTGAGGAATGTGTTGCAGAGACCAAGGACCGAAGCCGCTTCCGGAATTTGCATGTGGAGTCGAATGGGCCCAGTGTCTCGCTTCAGCTTCCTGCCCGTTTCGGTTGAGCAACAGCCTTGAGCCTGAAGCTGGCTTCGCTCGACCGCATTTCCGCCTCCTCTGAGATTCCAAAAGCCTGAATCCAGCGTGCACTCGTGAACAAATTGTCGCACCGGTCTGGCGAAACAGAGACTACTTTGCAGCCAAGCACCTTGCTTTTCGTCAGCCTTGGGTGTTTTGTCCCACAGAAGTCCAGTTCTGAATGGACGCGGAGCCCAGTTGTTCGTGCCCATCACGCAACCTGGTCCTGTCCCATACTGCGTTCTTTGGTTTCTGATGTTTCGTCCTTTTGATAGACGACTGATGGAAGCTGGTGTCGCTTTGTATTTTGCATCTTAAAGCGAACCGGGGACGGGCAACATTCCAACGACATGGCGACCTTGCGTGCAGGTTTAACGAGATCGCTCGCGAAGGATCATTTCTTTTGCCTATGTTCCAGTTGATGAATGATAGTCCCTGGCGCAGATGCTTCATGCTGCTGGAGCAGTGGTTTGCTGCAGAGTTGTAGAAAGATTCGAGTTCTGCTTTGGCTGGTGGCGGAAGTGCCTTGCCATTGCCACTATCGTTGGTTGCAGATGGGACTAGCGCTGGAAATCGGAAGGAAACCAACTCACCTCTTCACGGCCAGCAAGTTGGCTCCCTTGCAAATTGAGCGCCAGCACTTGCACCATCTCCTTCGCTGGCCGTATTTTGTTGTTTCAGAGCGCGAAGACATTTGAGCACAGAGCAAGCTCGTAACATCAATGGCTGCTATGTGAAGTAAACATTGGCAAACCGTGAGCCTGCAAACCCGAGATCCAAGATGCGCCAGGACCTCCTTTCTTTGTGCATTCCATCAGACAGTTGTGTGGTGTGTCATGCTTTCAGTTCGACTGGACTTCCACTGACACGTAGACTGTGACGCTCGCGTCTGAAAATGAAAGGAGCAGAAGTTGGAAGCGCAGTTTGTGAATACCGCGCTCGGGAAGCCCGAAAGGGGTGGACGGTGTCGTCAGAAGCAGAGGTGAGGGATGGTGATTCTCGAAGCCGTAACAATGGGCTTTAGCATCTAAGGTCATCCTTGTCCAGTTTCGCTAGCAGTATATAGTGTGCAGATCATGGTGTGATGCATAGCTGTGCAAGCTGGTGTCGGCTTAACATTTTGCGCTGGACAAAGCCTCTGTAGATGACATGACGGTTGGTCAAAGTTTCTAGCGGTCTATGGATGTTCCTCTGGAGGGACATGGGAAAGCTCACTACAGAGGACTCACTAATCTGCCCCCTGTCCTCTTAGGGAAACAAGTAATTTTGACCGTGCCGCATGATGTTGTTCACTACACGTCTCTTAGGTTCTGCTGCCGCTGCGCATGTTTGACCCCAGGTGAGATACAATATGTTGGTTGATTTTTCGGACTTGTCGGGGAAGTGCGATCTACATCACATTGGGCAATCATTTTAGGGTAGACTACCGGCTACTGCATAGGGAGTCATGTAAACTCTAGCGTCCTTTGAGGAGTATAGCTGCATTTGTTGCAGGTGCATTTGCCTGATTGTCAGCAGAGAACAACTAGGCTCGTGAAAGACAGACTGAAAGACCCCTTCTGGCTTTTTGAAGGATTGTCAAAGAGAGAGAGAGAGAGAGAGAGAGAGAGAGAGAGAGAGAACGAGAGACAAGCAGGGGCTAGGGAAAGGCAGGGATTGGGGAAGATTTAGGGAAGACGTGAAAAAGACTTGACGGACCAGCGTGAGAAAGGGAGTTCTTCACCGGTCTACCCCAGTTCCATAGTTGATGGTTATCCAACCAACTGGCATCTCTCAATCCACCCCCACGGCGAATTTATATTACGTACATGTCTACGTGTGTATATATATATATACATATACTCATGTTGAGATACAGATATATATATATATATATATATATACAATCACGGTCCACACTTGTTTCCTCTTTTGGGTCTGTGGCACGCAGTTACATTTGAGGGGCTGGCCACCCTGTAGTGAAACGGTGGACGCAATCGCAACCGGGGTAGATGAAGTCAAGTTGGGAACATTTTCAACCAGGACTAGGTGTGTCCTTTGTTAGGGACCTCCAGGATGGCGTGTTTGTCCTGTTGGTTTCCCTGAAAAACACCAAAAAGGTGGGTTCCCCCCAAGAAAAATCGACACAAGTGCGGCCGCCCTTTTGATCCTTGCGGATAGACTCCTTGAGCCCTTGGGCAACGAGGAGAAGTTCCAAGCGCCCGAGGTGGTCGCCACGGGCCTTGCGTATCAATGGCTGGAGGCGTGTGGAGGGAGCCCAGCTGAGCCGAAAACCACTAGCAACCGAAAGCCAGCGCCAACAGCGTGCCTGCAAGACTCTTGCACCTCCTGTCAACACCACATCATCGCTACAAAGTGTTGCCTGGATCCTTTCGCCCGCGTGGAAGCCGTATTGGCTCGTCTTGTGTAAGGTTGGACCTCCCAAAAATGGCTTCGGTTGTCCTTTTGCTTCCCTTCACCAACCCAAAAAACCACGTACAAGCCAAGACTGACCCATATTCTTCGAGGAAGCGACCTGCGTGAGGTATAGCGGCTCCATGGATGCGGAGGTGGTGACCCGCGCGGTGTGCGTGGGCTTCACGACGCGCTCCCGGCCCAAGTTTTCGCGGCGGCGGTCAGGCGTTCTGCTCGTTTGGCTGAAGCGGGCCGGCATTCTGAGAGACGCAAACGGCACAAATGCTCCTGGACCTGTAAGGGGGGCTATTGGGGGGGGGGGGGGTATTTCTGGATAAGCCCAGGATTTGCCAAGGATAAGCCCTTAATAAGGCCTTATTAAGGGGTGAATGAGGGATAGCTTCCCCCCCCCCATAGCCCCCTCAAATTTCATTGGACCGCAAAAGCTGAAATGTGTGTTGTTATGTTTATGTTGGTTCGTTTGAGCATGTTACTGCCAGGGGATCATGAGGGCTGCCATGGTTATTTGTTCAAGTCTTGTTTGCCCCTCACAGAACGAGGATACAGCCAAGCAAGCTGAGCAAGAGACTGCGATGGCTGGTCTTTTCAATTTGTGCATTATTGCACAACTCCTTGGGCAGCTGGTTGTCCATTCTTGCGTTCTCCGCTGCTTGACAAGTTGACCTTGATCTTTTTCGCCAGTGCTGCAAAATCTTGTCTGAATATCGTTGCAGTGTTCGTCAGTTGCTGGAAGCCAAGCAGGCACATGGAGCACGCATGCCAGGGTCAAAGGACCAAGTTGTTTGGCTGACGAGGAACGTTTTGCGAAGTCTCAACGACATTGTTCGGATCTTGGGCATGTCCAGAAAGTCTCAGTTGACACTTAGAAGAATGATGTATCCCAAAGTTGTCAACAACGTGAGAAAACAGAATCATCGCAGGTCTGCCCCTGTTGCCAAATGCCCAGGTCGTAGGCCAGGCGCATGGCTTCACCACCCTTTGGGCACCAGAAAGCGATCGCATGCCAGTACGCCGGAGCCGTGCAAGTACCTGGCGGAGCCGCTTTCCTAAGCATGGGCTGAGAGATACGAAGTGGTTGGGTGTCCGCATGCGCTGAACGGGAAAGCGCCCTATGTCAAAGCTTTAAACCTGCCTCACCGTGGCTTCCCTCAGGGGGGGGAATAGATTTCCCCAAATCAAGAGTTGATCAATGTACGGGTGGTGTCCATTGAAACGATCGCCACTTTGGGAGGTTCCAACAAAAGGGAAATGGAGGAAACCCTGTCCTTTGAAAGGTGTCCAACCATTTTGTGTGAAGTTTTAAGCTTGCACTGCGGCACCAAAACATCAGATGCCACATTTGCCGACTTACTGCTTTGTCTCCTGCCAGTTGTTCGGCTTTAGCGCCTTTTTTACCCAGCAGCCGCAAACGGATGTACTGCTTGTGTTTGGAAGATGCGCTGTCGTGTCCAGGGTTGAGTTGTGGCCGCTGTTGGGAACAACATGTAGCAGGCGACTATTGTCACAGATGTAGCTTTGACGTCTTATGTGGAATGCCTCACTCGATGCGATACTCATGAAGCCAAAGACAGGACTGCGCTTTGAGCCCCCCCCCAATTTCGTGCCTCTCGGCGTTTTATCTTGCTCCCAGGCCAGTGAATCCCTTCGATCAGGAGCCAGGACCTTGGGACCTGCTTGACCTCCATGGCAAAGGGCCGGTTAGATGAGGGGTCCAGCGACCCCGAAAAGACGAGTGGCGCTCTCTCGGTTGCTTGAAGTTTCCTTCGGGGGAAACACGCGGAAACGCGGGGAACAAGTAAACAAGTCGGCTGGAGCCAGGGCCAACTCCGCTAAAACAGGGGGATGGCAGTGGAGCGCTCAGGCGCCGCCGAAAGCCACCCAAAGCTGATACTCTGAGGGTGTAAACTTTTAAAGCGGGGTGGCCATCGGGGGCTTCAGACTCAGGCAGGACATCGGATTGTCAGAATGATTGGGGATTGTCACATGTGCCATGGTCGAAAGACCGGTTCATTTACCTGGGGTTCACAGGGATGGTTATCCCAATGTGAGGGCCCGTAATGACTATTACAATGATTCCTATGAAGGGGCCCATGACCCAATCGGCAATAGAACCGGAGTTTTGACCATGGCAGACATGGTGACGACCCCAAGAAAGAAGAAAAAAACACGTGCAGAGTTTTCCTCACTCAGCCGGATGAAACTGTGACACTTCATAGCATGGAAAGGATTTGGAATGATTTGGACACCTTTTTGGAGGCCTTGCCGAGGCTTTGCAGTGCTTTCCTCTGGCGGAGAGTGGGTTAGAAGCGTGCAGTCAACTCTAGTGGCATACCGGCATAGCCATGTGCCACGCTTGAGGCCGAAAACGGATTATGGTATCTCCTTCTCCCAGATGATCGAGGACAGCTGGAGTGAGCATAGTGTTGAGCTTTGCAAGGGGGTTTAGTGCAGGTTGCACAAGAGACAAGCACTTTTGATGGACATCTTTTGTCTCTATTTGCCGTTTCCCTGTTCAGGCCATCGTCGCGACTGGATTTCTAGTCACATGCCTGTGCCTCAGAATCCTACGATGTTTTGCTGTGCGTGGAAATGTGTAGCTGCGAGTACGGCACACCAAACTAGGGGAACCAGGGAGAACCAAACTCTCATTAAAACAAAAACAATGCCACACATGAATCTGCTACGAGCGCGTAGAAATTGAGGGGAACCAAACTCGAGGCATCCCACCTTTGGGGGCACGAGCGCGAGCTGTGAAGGGCTTGCTCTAGTGCCAATCAAGTGCTCTGGCTCATGTTGGCTTGATCAGGGGCTGAACACAGGCACAGTGGCAAAACGGCCAATATGGGTTCATATAGATTCCGGCCTACCCAGGTGTCATGTACTGCTACAAGCGCTCCTTGACACGGCAAGTGCACACAGCTCTCAGGGAGGAGGCAGGAAGCGCGCATAAGTTGCTTGGCCATTCGAAAAAGTTGCTACTGGCGCCCCAAGTTGCACTTTGATGTTTCCTTTTATGGGCCCAGAAGAGTCTCACGATCAAGCATGTGTGTGTGTGTGTACTGATTCTGTGAGTTTGGTCTCATCAAAGTGGGAAATTGCTTAAGGCAAAACACACACATTGCTACCGGAGCTCCTTTGTTGGGGGCCTTTGGATCTCCGTCAGGTGATGTTGGAGGTGCAAGCGGAGATGAGCAGGCCTCCGCATTTGATTAGACATTTCTGCATTCTGGCTTTGTTGCACTGCTCCTTCAAGTCGTGTTAGGGCGCATGATATGTTTGCTCCTGGTTCGTGGATCCGACAGGCATGCATGCAGAGGAGGGTTTGCACTGCATGTTTGATGAAGCAGGCATGTGTCATGTCAACCTTTGAAAGGTTTATTGACGGATGCACCATGCATCAAACTCTCAGGCTTGCATTGCACACAACGCACATGCTTGAAATGCCTGTTTTGCGAAGCTTTGTATTCTGCCCTTCGCTGCATTTGGCTTCAGGTACAAGCGTCTGGAGATGTGAGCCATTCGCTTTCCGCGTTGTCCCGGGGCCTCTTTCGCGATGGATTCATTGCCAGTTTGGCCACAGCAGTTGGTTTCTCGGCGGTTTCTACGTTTTGCTTCCATGGAAATCTTGAATTTGTCGGGTCCTGACAAGTGAGGAGTTGTAACAGAACAGGACCTGTAGAATTGCCATTTATTCCCTGTCACTTGGCAATGATGTTCCATCCGTGCAAACTGTTTGATTGCATACCTGAACATCAAAAGCTGCTTCACAGCTTGTACAGGTGATTTACGCCATTCAAAGTGCGTGCAGAGACACATTGTATGGTTGCGCTGGATTCGATTGGCAAACAAGCGAGCCATTTGAGATGTCTGCATTTGGCGCAGAGATGCTGGCGGTGTGACGTTGGGGTGTCGTCAAAAGCCAGGAGGCCTCCCACGAAGACGCCTGTGACATATTGCCTCCTAAGTCCCCAAAAAGGTCAGCAGTTGGCTCCCATACGGTGGGGTAGAAAGTAGCGGGCGCGCAGTGTCCTCGCACACGCGCTGAAAAACATTGGGGCGTTTTAGAGGCGCTCAAGGAAAGACATGGAAGACAGATTATTGGCTTTGAGATCTTGGCTTTCAGAGCCCACGGGGGGCAGCGTCGAATACGAGAGAATGCGGGGCGCAGGGCATGCCTTCCATCTCTTCTTCTGGGTTCAAGCAAGGCACAGCCAGGCAGGTCCTTAAGAGCTGGGGGGAGTTGGATTGGCACGTGCCGGAAGCATTGGGGGACTCGTTGTTGGTGTTTCTGAACCACACGAAAAGCCGGCCAACCAGGAAGTGAGTCAAAATCAGGGCCGCAGAAAATGCGAGAAAGCGAGGTTCAGACACCGTGTGGGCGCTTTGCAAAGAACAAACACGTGGAGAGGATCATGGATTGGTTTGCCACTTCACCAAAACACCAAAGGCAAGCAAGCACGCCCTGCTCTGAGTGGTGATCCGCGTTCCACAGGCCTGTGACACGCCGCTGAGCGTGAGATTCGCAGCTTTAGGCCCAGGCTGCAAAGCGAAGCCAAACACGGCGTGTCGCGCTTTGCTACCTGTGAGAGCGGCTCTTTTGTTGGCCGCAAGTTGCCATTGAGACCTTGGCATGCCATATGTTGGGCTTGACATGCGTACACTGTTCCAATTACCACCAAGGGTAGTCTTTCGCCGGATTTCAACAATGTCAGCTGTTTTGGAGCACGGTGGCCGCAACTAGTAAATGTGGGCATGCTTGCACCCCTCCGTTCGTTGCTAGTACAAGTACAATACACTAGTTGCACAACACACACACACACACTCACACTACCTCACACTGCACCTCACTACACCACACAACATACTGTGGATGGGCGAACTCTTGCACCACTTTGAAACCATGGGAAACCATTGTGTGTTGGTATTTAGAGGAGAATCATCATTCCAGGGTTCCTGAACGGTGGTGCGAAATGGATTTTATCCACCCACAGCACTAAACTACACTGCACCACACGCACGCATACATGTGGTTTGTTGTGTCCCGCGAGCCACCCGAGCCATGCGCTCGCAACTCGTCCTGTTGGCGGCATTTCCGGCTGCGAGCTCAGGGAGAAGGGGCGGACAGTTGCGCGTGGGATTTTTGCCCACCCAGCTCGCAGCACCTTCGATTTTGCAGAGGTGAACTAGGACCACTTCCCTCAAGCTTGCCACTTGGCTTTGCTAGTGAAATTCTGGGCTTGGATAAAGCACCAGCTTGGAACTACCTTCCAGAGGGCAAGCAACAAGGCACCAGAGCTCGCATTGTCTCAGGCCACCTAATAAGAGGTTTGACACTCCCCTCAGAAGCTGCGGCCAACGTCGGCCCAGTCTCGGCTGGATGGCGATGAAGTTCAAGCAAGCATGAATCCATGGAGCAAGATGGTCGGCAGATAGCAAGTGAAAGAAGCACCCGGCCCCATGGCCACCTAGAAAGGCAAAGGGGACGAGCCCGACCAGCATAGCTGCAAGCCGAGCGAAGCATTAAGCAACAAAACGCGCCAGTGAACATGCATGCAGGCTGATTTGTTGGTCAGGAAGAGCGGTAGTTGCCAAACAGCAAGCCAGTGAGCGACCAAGGGTCATGCACCAAAACGGAACGTATTTCTGGTGGGTGGAGGTGTGACGAGTGATGAGTGAAGCTGGCAATCCCGTAGAATAATTCCACCGTGCGAGTCATTGATCGTTCTGAAGACTACTGGTGGCATTCACAGATTCCGCTTTACAGATTAATACTGACAATATCTCACAACCGCAATACGCACACGTGCTTGAAGCTAAGGTGTGACTAACATCGGCTTGCAACTTCCAGATGCGAATTGATTCTATTGGGGCGTGTCTTTTTTTCAGGGACCACCCCCCCAAAAAAAAAGGAAAGAAGAACTATAATATACTATAATACATATATACATATATATATATATATATATATATGTTTTTCAATCAGGGGGTACCCTGAAAAAAAGCACACCCAGTTCAGTCAAGGTTCTTCTTCACACGCCCGTCATGCTGGGCTCCAGGCCCTCCAGGCTTCACATCCAAAGGCATCGGAGCGTCGATTTGGTATGGGGCGGGCGGTAGCAGCGGTTTCGGCGGTTTCCCTCTGGTTTCCCCTTTGGAGCCAACCAACACCCGGTAAACCCTCCAAAAAAGACAACGGTTTCGCAGAACGCCCCATGAATCCGTTTTGATTGACCGACTCAAAGCTGTTTTGCCCGCCAGGAAATACGACTGTGGCACTGGATGGCGGTTCGGGGCCCTTTCCTGTTTGGGAACTAAAGGAAACAACCCAAGGGGCCCCTATTTTCTTGGTTGCCAGCCATCCGGTTAACAGGTGTTTAGGTTTTAGTTGCTTTTGTCCGGGGGTTCGATTTAACCGACTAAAACTCAATCTGGTAGCAGGGGATCTGAGGACAGCCCAATTTTGAGAAGCCCCTTTTTGGACCAACCGATTCGTTTTGTTTCTTTTGTCCGCAACGAGGTCGGCCAATCGCCAAACAGTGTGGTTCAACCATCGGGGTATTGACAGGCACATGTGAGGCGCGAAGCAAAGCATGGCATCCTATGTTGCATGTACGAAAACTTTCAATAGTGCCTTCAAGTGTCAGCAGCGGTGAATTGCTGTCAATCCCCCCAAGAGACATGGGTTGTTTACTACTGGTGATTTGGTTAGTGTACCCTATGTTCAACAGTAGCGGATGGTGAACATCGACCTTTTTGACTGGTTTGGGCCTCATTCACTCTCACGTTGAATTCGAGTATGTCTCAGCCTGAGAGGGGCCCATTCACAACTGAGACAGTGCAATGAGCAATGAAGCGCCTTGTGCGAAGCGCAGGTTGATGATGCGCCAGGTTGGGTCGCCCGGGCTTTGCATCTCTGAAAATGGCCCCGCAAGTGCCTCACGGTTAACTCCACCTGTTGTCAGCAAAGAATGAGGTTGCTGCCTCAACTGCCCGCATGTGGTGAGACTTACCAGCTGAGGGTGCAATCATTGCCAGGGGTTCCTGTCAGGGTGAGCCAACAACAAATTGTTCTTGGCGCCTTGATTCATTTTTGTCGAAAAAAAATAAGCCTGAAAAGAATGGGGTCACCTGGGACAGTGGTTTGTCTTTGCCTCCAAAAAGTCGGCCAAGAGGCTCCCTGCTTGCCTTTGGATCCATGCCGCCATGCGGCAATGTGTTGCTTTTGTGTCCCCTCGATAATTGTTGTTTTTGCTTGCGAGGCCCGTGCATGTGGGTTTTTTGACCCATGGATACGTCGTAAAGTCAAGTCTCGTGGCGTCCGTCAGCCGGCAGCTTTGGTTCACATCTCTCTCTCCTCGATTCGGCTTCCGGGAACACCAGGGAATGATTGGTTTCCATTCGGCTTCCATTTGCTCCGGCCGCAAATAGGGCACCAACAAAGACAACCACACCCAAATACCTTACCGCAGATCATATACATACACGTGGTTGTATACATGTATATATTTTTATACATAGAATATATAATACATGTATAATATATAGTACATGTATGTATATTAAATATTCATGTGTAATAACAATATGTATATACATATTATGTTCATAGTCTATAGTATATATAAATATATGATATAGATTATATATATATATAGGTATTACTGGTTGGTAAACCTAGAGTGCTAGCTGGTGCCTTGGTGCAGGAATTTTCCTCCATCCACACACCCGGAGCCGAAGCGGCCTTCAGCCCGTCCATTCTTCAGGTGAGGTCCAGAGGGTCACCCTGCAGGCCGGCGGTTTGAGCGGGCGACGGGTGCCAATTGAAGTGGTTGAGACATTTTACCATGGGTGGCTCGTCTTTTTGTAGGGGACGTCAAAATTGCTTTGGTTTTGATCTTGGTTTCCGATTCAAACCACGAAAAGGGGGATCCGGAAATCAGCAGGGGGATTTGGGGATGTCACCCTAATAATTTTGATTGACCAGTCATAACATGTCACGTGTGAATACTGAGTTAGAAGTTTCAATTGCTGTGGCCGCGTTTGTTCGTCAAGAGGGCCCTTTTGAAACAAGGGCCTCTTCAACAAAAACAAAAATGCCATCAAAGTATTTTCTGGTGTGAAAGGCTGCGGATCAAAACAAAAGAAGTCGCAGTGGCTTTAAAGAGGGAACCAGCATGAAGCCAACGATTTGGAGGTGTCCCATTTCACACAATCCCCGGGCGGGCCCATTTGGGCTCTCATTACATTCGGAACCCTTTGTTGGGTTGGTTTTACAGGGAAACCATACAGCAAGGAAACCCACCATTTGGGGGCTTTGGTGGTCCCTGAAAAAAGACTCGCCTATATATAATATGTGAGGTATTTGCTTGTTTGGCAGTCCTATGTTTTCTTGGCACTCGTGCCTCAAGCGAATCTAGCGCCCCAGGACATGCGCAAAGCACCTTGGCTTGCAAAAATAAACTGTGTAGCACCTGGAGTTTGTCCCGGGAACCTCCCAATGAGTGGAGAATCCCTTGGTACTTTAGAGCCTCCGACTCAGTCCGCCAACATTTCACCGTGCATGAAGCGCCCAAATGTTCACCATTTGAGACTCATCATGAGGGCCTTGCTTCTACCATTGTCGCATTCTTGCACAAGCTTCAACAGTTTGTCAGCTTCAGTGTGAGCAGGCTGTTGTGCTTTCGGGCACATCCAGCAAGTCGTGAGCACACTTTCTCTCCGCTTACTTTGGTTTCTTGCAGAGTGAACCTGAGCCGATGTCCGACTCTGGTACGGAGGAGCCTTTTTTGAGTCCGTTTTCGGACCTGAGTGGGAATCGCCAGGGGGTTTGGGCATTGTTGGACCTTGGGCATGTTTGGAGATATCCACCGAAAGGCCCCAGAGATACATCTGTGCTTAGGGCGTATTGGTTGCCATCCTTAGCGTCACGATGGGTTGCCTTTCAAGGTAGGGTCTCTGGATGTGTACATAGTTTTTTTTGTCATGAATATGGTGACCAAAAGACTCGTTATTAATCCCTGATGGTGCGATGGATTCCTGGCAAAGCACTGCGCAAGTACCATGTGCGATGTTTGCTGATTGGCACCGGACTATGTAGCAACAGCAAGTCTTGCGAGACACGCAGCCTTGTTATCCCAAGGCCGTGCACCAGATTGTCGCTGGGCTGCACTACGAGCATGCACTGCGGGTTTTGCGGGCATGCGGGCAGGTACAGCGACGCAATGGAAGGACATGTTTTAAGACTTTACCAAGCCTTCTCGGTCGTCGTACATGACCAGCTAGGTGTTGAGACGACGTCAGAACAGGTTAGGGTTTTGGACAGGAATGAGCAGTAAGCAAATATCGGCGTGGCGATGAATCAAGCCACTGCGGTCGCAGGGATAGCTGGAACAGCCGCCAGCACTCGCCGCGCCCCCCCCCCTCCCGCGCCCGTTGAGCCTTCATGCTGCTTGAGTGGCAACGGGCATGTGAGGCTGAGCCTGAGACCCGTCACTTCCCAAGCTTTTTGTTGCACCCCTTTGGACTGCTTGCTGCAATCTAAGCGGATTGCCGGACTGGATCCTTCTGGCTTCTGCTTGCCTTTGTGTCTAAAGAGCAAGTCAAGCGACCCACCTTGCCATGGAACCTGACGTTTTGGGATCCTAAAACGGGACCTTTGGTGGCTTCCATTGCAACGTGGACAGGAGGGTACCCATGATGTGCAAAGAGCTTGCGCCACACCCGTGCATACACAGCTTCAATCAGCGACTCAAAGCAAACTGACATCTGAGGAGAAGGTGTTTGAAGGCATCGCTCATACAGGTGGGAACTTGCCGAGCCAGAAGCCTGTCATAGACGGACCGCGATAGGTTTTCCCTGGGCCTACTCAATCATTTGCATTTTTACACGGCAGTGGCTCAACAAGATGTACCCAAAATGCCCCTTGGCAAATGGAAACAAAGACTAGAACCTGCATAACCCCAGTTGCGTAATTTTGAGCCACATCCACATGGCTTGCTTTTGCTTGTGACAAAGGAGTCGTAGTGGAGTCGTGTGCGGATAGCCCAGGGATTCAAATGATGTGAGGAGAGAGGGCGAGCGTGGCTGTTTGCGAGCTTTTTCTATGGCGCTCTCAGTTTGAGACAGCGTTCCCAGAGTTTTCGCTTAGCAGACAAATCCTCTACATGTGTAGAATACCAGCTTCCGATTCCTTAGCAAATGGGGTTGGTTGTCCACTCCAGGCGTAGGCGACACTAAGATCAGAATCAATGGCCTGGAAGGGAGCACACCGTTCCATTCAGCAGGGAGGGCTTGCACGACACTGTCAGGAACAGGTAAGCGCCATTGCACCCCATGAAACCTGATTCCCGTCTCCCTACTGACCTAAAAAGTTATATCACACCAGTCACCCCAGGCTGATTCCAACAGATTGGCCGGAAGAAGCTTTTAGCTCGCGACTTGGCCAGAAAAGCAATCTGCTTGCTTCCGCTGTACTTTCAAGGCTTCCCTTTCACCAACAAGCGACTTGGAGTCAGCGAGTGCCACTTGCCACATCTGATTGTTACATGTAGAAACTAGCAGAAACTGGCTGGAGTCCTGGCTTGAGTATCTGCAAGTTCGGACTTCTTTTTTTTCCGGGTTGCGCAAATGGCGAAGCAACAGTGTGGCTTGAGGGCTATGCATCAAAGGCGGACTGCCTGCCAGGATCCCAGACAGCTTCCACTTTTGCCATCACAGGCAAGCTTAATTCTAAGCAAAACAGCCCCATCCAAAGTGACAGGATCGAAAAAAAGGTCCAGCTGGCAATCCTTCACTCCGAAACGCTCCACTTGATTGTGGGTTTTAATGGGAACACCCTCTTAAATGGTTGGTGCATAGGATCCCCAGGTAAACAATGCCCACCAAAGGGGTTCGCCATTCAGATTCACTCTCATTTTGTGCTACACAGCGAGCATTGGCTTCATAGAGCCACCCACGCCTTCCGACAACGCTGCCGCGCCAGCTTGCGGCGTCGTGTCGCAGTTGGACGAGCTCAGATGGAAACCTTTCACTGGTGGACCGCTTCCCTGCGCCCCGGCTGCAAGTCTGTTGCTGCATCATATGCTTGTTTGTTTGATTGTCTGCCCCGTTTGTCTGCCTGTTTGTCTGTCTGTCTGTCTGTCTGTCTGTCTGTCTGTCTGTCTGTCTGTCTGTCTGTCTGTCTGTCTGTCTGTCTGTCTGTCTGTCTGCTTGTTTAGTTGTTTGTTTGTTGGCTTGAAGGCAGTTCAGAGAGCCCGGGATTGGTCTGACATAGGCCTTCCTGCTTTCTATGAATGATCGTTTACCCCTGGTGTCTTCCCTCATATCCAGTTCGGTTCCCCTGCCCTTGTGCCCGAAAGGTTTGAATCCATGAAGCAGGGCCACGGGGCCACGGAGACGTTGAAGCTGATAACGATCAAGAGCCGATGTCCTGCTCACTGAGGCAACAAGCTAATGGCAACAGACTGCGACATCAGCTACCATCAGATGGAGTGTCCTGAGGACCTCATCTCCGTTCGGGCTTGAATGGGCTTGCATGGGCGCAAGCCCGAACTGTTTTTTGCGCTCTCCCACGTCCAAAGCAGGGGTCATGCAACGACATGGAGAACGTAGCTTAGAAGTTTTGTGCTGTGGCTGATTCTTAAGTTCAACGTGCGGGGTGCTTGCAAATAATAGTGCAAGCCTATTGCCGGAGCATTTACAAGAGAGGCTTGCATATCTTGTCAGCAATTTGCAAACTCTCTAGCAAGGGGATTTGTCGCGGACCACGCGGATGCGTAGCGAACATTGCGTGAACCCAAGTGTTGTTGTCCACGCCGTGTTCATGAAGACGACAAATGCGTGTTTTAGTGCTTGGTCGGTATGAGATCCACAAGGTCAATCTTTGAATCCGCTCTGGAGAAACAGTCCAAACCCGGTCTTTCGACTTTTCGGCTCCCAAAGTTGTTGCATGTTTTGTCCCGACCCCAAAAGGTGAACCTTTGCTTTCCAGGTCCCTTAGAGGAAGTCGGCTTTGGTGTACGGTCTAGCTCGGGTGTCTCTTTTGAATGATCCATCAAATGCGGCATGCTACTGTAGAGCACCAGCGGAGGGTCAAGCTGAACAGACCTTATGTTGTCTTTGCGATGTACCCTTGTCTCCATTTGTTGGCTAGGAATTCAGATGTTCACACCCAACTAAAGTTTTCCAGAGTTCGTAAGCGGCACATTGCCAGCAGAGATCCAACGTACTTGCACTAGTATCATGCTGATATATATATATATATATACTATGGCTGTATGTGCATGCACATGCTTTTGTGCAGCTGATTGGGTGTTGTGCCACCTTTGAACAATGCAGTGGCATGAGTCCGCGTTGCACCTGAGAAACTCGGAAACTCGGCCAGGAGTGTCCTTTCATGGCGCCGGACAGGCGAGAATGTATCATAAAGTGGGGGTGTCTTTTCTTAGTGGACCCCCTCCCCCCAAGATGGTGGCTGTGAAACCACCCCTAAAAGAGCACCCTCCATCACGACACCATAGAAACTCGCCAAGGATCCAGAAAGGATATATACATAAATATATATTTTGGCCATTTTGAGTATCACATCTACCTGATGTCCTGATGTGGACGATCCCCTTGATCATCAAGTGAATTTAGAAGTGTTTTTTGGTGAACCCCGTTCCGCCAACAATCTCCTGACGATCTAGGAGGTTCTAAGCTGCAGAGATTGAGCCATGTTGAATCGATTCACAGCAGCAGAGTGTGTGTGTATGTGTGTTTTGTGGTGTTTTTTGCGGGGGGGGAGGGGGAAGTCTAGCAAACTTTGTAGATTGTTTGCCCGGGCGCACAGCTGCAGCTAATCGAACGTGTGGCAAGTTCAAGCGATCGGATTCTGCTATTTCTAAACTGCAAAGATTCAGCCAAGTCAGTAACATGGCAACCCGTGATGCCTTTCGCACAAAGACGGAGACATGGCGCTTTCAACAAAGCACATGCTTTTCGAACAGCTCGGCTCACACACACACATTTTTTGCGGTCGCTCCGATGCTGGACCAAAAGCATTGACCTGTTTATAGCCTTGATGGGGACACTTGACTTGTCAAGCGTGAATGCAAATGCTGATCCACACGAATTCATTCGCTCACAACTTAATTAAGTATTGATTCAGTATTGATTGTGCACTGTTTGCATACAGATTGTGTAGTGATTGCGTACTGTTTGATTTATTGTTTACTGGTTTCTGTCGTTTATATTGGTTGACAATTGGTCAGGAGCTGTTTTGCTGTGCTCGTATTGTTTCGTACTGGTTTCGAATTCATCTAGTGCCTGTTCCGGGCTTCCTTGTGGTACACCCCTTGATACCAATTTCGCTCGGGGTCTCAGTCAGTTTTGCTGGCTTTGGTTTTCTAGTTCACTTTTGTTCTAGCATTGCTCAGCAACAGGCATATCCCATTCCAATCCTGTCGGGGTAAATGTTGTACTCACCAATTTGCCCATTGTCTTACTGGCACCGTGTAATTAAATCCCACTTTGAGGTGTCTCAGGTTTGCCTCGAAATGCTGGAACCCACAGAATGCCTCCCAGTTTCTTTCTCCAAAAAAGCACACACCACATTCCTATTTTTCAAGCTGCAAATTGGCTGATTCCGAACCTTTAACTGGTTGGTTGAACCATGTTGAAATTGTGTATGATCCCACTAGCCAACAACTAACCTTTTGAGCAGAGGGCGATAGCCACACAGATTCCCATTTCGATTAACCGTAACCATCATTTACTGATACACTGACATGTAAATCCTACCATTTAGTACGGGTCCCAAGGTTCCCCCAACACACACACACACACACCGACACCAATCAAGCCTCCGGTTCTGGTCTGAATCTTTGAGTCTTTCCCCAAAAAACCGAGGTTAGTTTCGGGGGCACCGCTGTGGCCCGGTTAGGTCCCCCCCGCCCTAAGGGGCTCTGAGATTCCCACTTCGCATTCTCGAGAGCCGCGAACCGCGAGGCACTTCCCCTGCCAGTTCAGCTGCCGAGAGGCCGCAAACTGCTCGTCAAGCCAGGCCCTCGAATCACTGGGGAACTCCAAATGGGGAAACTCAAACGATGAGTTCGTTACATCTTGCCATTGTGCGGATGTTTTGCACGTGCTGGTGTTTGCTAAGTTGCATGTTCCGCCGAAAGGGCCACTAGTGTTTATACCTCCCTCATGTTGCCCGTAGTGTTTATCCGTGTATATATAGATGGCTTATTTATTTGGGAGGAGATGAACAGAACGCATGGGCCGGGAAGTTCTACAAACCCGCGCGTTCGTCAAGCCACATGACAAGCGAGCTTCGAAGGTCACTTGAACAATACTCATGACGGAAAGGCAACTGCGAACAGGCCTCAGGTGGAATCTCATTTACCGTGATTGCGTGTAATGTGTAACATACGTGAGCCGAATTTGCGGCATAAAGTTGAAAGCAAGCATACGCTCGGACGGGTCCCGCTCCAGAGACACATTTTTCTCTGCTAACCACTTGTTGACCCGAGTCGACCTTTGCAGGCTCGCTGTTGCAATACACGCCCTGCAGCAGATTCTGATTCGTGAGCAGCGATGTATCTTCACCGAGTCCCAGACCGACCTTTTACACACCACGTTCCGTCTCCAGTGCAAGAAGTCTGCTTCCGGCTCGAATATTGCTAAGCAACTGTTCCGCTAAGTTTCTTCTTCCTGGACGAATATGAAGTATGGCCTTGTCTACAATGGATGCTTACTCCTTTCCATCGCGATTTATGTCGTGACTGTCTGCCATATTTGTTTCACCGAAGTTGGCTGCTGATGTAGAAAAACAAACTTTGGATAATGCCACTTGGTGCGGGTACCCTAGCTTATTTCCCACCCAGGACCACGCTGGCCTCGCGCGAGATAGCAATGAATCACTTTTAGCTGCAAGGACTTTGCTGCCGTGTTGCAAGTAAAGGTCATGCTTTTGCCAGCGGCCATGTTTGTTTCATCCGGATGAGTCGGATCGGCGTTCATGCGATCAGTGCTGTACCTGCTCTCGGGCATTCAAACTCATCCGGGTATCTTCTTGAAGGATGATCCTTTCCGGGAAACCCTTGGATCAAACATGCGACATGCGGTTTGGATTACTCTCCTGCAGATCAGCATGGAACCCCCAAAACACGCCATGTGTAGAGGAATACTTTTTGGGAGACCTGACCCCCTTTTTGGATCCTTTTGGGTTCCATGTTTACAGGGGAGCAGTCCGAAGTGAACATGCGGTTGCAAACGAATGATGAGATCTGAGGCAATGTGGATGCCCCTTTTCCAGCAGAGCGCTTGGAGGGACGGGCCGACCGGGCGAGCGCGAGCGCCTTTGGGCTTTCAGCTCATGACTGAGCTCGGCACTGGGTACCATGTCCCATGAAGGTTTGGCTAAAACGAGCTCGCTCACTCATGATGATTCCTTCGGGATTCCCCACTTCCGTCGGGCTGTAGTTGGACCGTCTTTTTTGCTCTAGTCTATTTCAAGGGATCCAAAAGGCGACAAAATTGATGTCCCCCCTACAAAAGTGCTTCTCATTGGCATCCCCTTCTTGCAAGTGAATTACTGGCTAGGTTGTCACCTGTCAAAGGAAACCTCTCAGCTAGGGGAGGTGCTTGTTAGAAAGCGCACCGCTCTTTGGCCTCCCCGACTCATCGGGGACACGTCTACGGTAGACTTGGTGTTCAGCCAGGACCAAGAATGCGCTTCAGCAGGCGAAGTGCAAAGCATCTACGGGAATCGCTGCGCATTGCCCGCAGCGTCCAGCGAAGCAGCAACGAACGAAAAAGCAATCCAGCTAGCGGAATCACAGCAATGCAGCACCCCTCTCAGCCCAAAGCGTCAAAGCATCCCTGTTGGTTTCCCTTCAGTCTTGTGGGCAGGCGCCAAAAGGTTCTATGTCGCCGCTGCAATTGCTTTGGACGGCGCCCAGGATCCCACTTACAATCTTTGCACCTCGTGCTCAGTGTCAGGCAGGGCTTTGCCACCCTGGGTTGCAAGAACTGAGGGAGGAGAAGGGGACCGTGATAGATTGCCGCCTTGCCGCTCTCAGCGTTTTGCATTGGCAATGTTTGCCAAGCTGGGAGCGGGAACCGGCATGAGTTTTCAAGAGTGCATAGATCACGGCACGATGGCCAGGATGGTCATATTTGGGATTAGTCGGATCAGTTCGACCACCCACGCGCAATGCCAACATAGCTGACATTTACCCTGCCTCGCAGGTTTGGAGTTATTGCTCTTGTGCGTATTCATATCTGGGCTCTTGCCAGCAGGAGAAGCAGAGGCTATGACTTGCGGAAGCAAGGGTTGCATGAGCCGATTCTGTGGATCGTTGTATGTCCGTGTTCTGTCATTTGGTTGTGTTCCTACACGTGACTCGAAATATTCTAGCCCAGCATGATTGTAATTAGAATCCATTGTTAAACTGTCAAACTAGTCGGTACAAAGTCACAAAGCTAAACTCAAGCCGTGCGTTAGGCGAGTGTTAGGCGATGTTCAGACAGTTGATCAGTGTTTGCAGATCACGAGAACTGCCAGTTAGTTCTCGCCGTTTGACTTCTGGCAGATCTTCAAAGAAACAGAAGGCTGACCACAAAGCAACATACACACACGCCAGGCAGAATATTATCAGCGTCTTACTTGAACACTTGCCTTTTGGTTTCCTTGATTGATTTTCTGGACTGGACTGGGCACTCGAGCTGCTTAAATTTGATGTGTTTGGACATGTACGATGTCACGGGTTTATTGTTAGTGCGTGAGTGTGACATACATTGGGCAGTGCCGGAAACGTATTTGGACATGAGCTGAACATTATGATATAACGAAAGTACAATGGTAGACATCTTTTGTCACGCACTTGTTCTACAAACACATCAGGCTGATGCCGTGACTATGCAAGGCTGGAGGAAAGCACGTCATGGTAATTTTGCTTCGTTGGGGCAGCCTGATAGCTTGTTGCACCACATACTTTGGTCGCTGTCGCCGGCTCCCCTTAGACAAGCACTCTTCTCCAATCTGCTTGCAAAGGCTTCGGGTTGTGAAAAGCAATCATGTCGTTTCGCCGAGGCGGGTTGGCATTAGTACTGTGGATGGACGAAATCCTGCACCACCTTGAAACCATGGTTGAAACCATGGTTGGTTTGTATTTACCGGGGATTCGAATCATTCCATGGTTTCGTAGGTGGTGCGAAATGGATTTCGCAACCATCCACAGTATGACCTGACCGGTGAGCCCATCACACCCCGAGAGAGACAGCTCTTATCGCCCTGCCAGCATGCGCCTGGTGCGACACACAGAAGAGCTGCAAGCAGTGCCATGACGGCTTCACCTTGAGCGAGGAGCGGGGGACGAGGTATTTGTGGTTGAGTTGCTGACCCCAGCAAGCTCCTGACTCTCAGGGTGAGGTCCAACAATTAACTTGGGACTACATCTCGCAAGCCATCTTTTTCAAGGCAGTTGCAGCTGCACGACTGGTCTGTCATCAAACTCACTGTGACAGATACTCGTCAAGCCCTCATGTACATGAGCAATCCTTCTATCAGTATCCCCCTTGACGCGGTATATGTTTATCATTTGGGTGTGGGTCAAAATTGAGCCACCAGGAGACCGCAGGTTTTAGTCTTTGGTTCCATTTACCAGGCTTCGATTTTGTGTACCCATTTTTGACGAGCCATTTGAACAATGGGGTTGGTGAGCATGTGGCCTTCTGCTTCTGTCAGCCCTCAGCTTCTCTCAGCCCGCTTTGTGGCTTGATGGATCCAGGACGGCAAGTGCGCATTCGGTCGCACGGAGGGCGTAGACAGCATGGTGGGGGATCCCCAGCCTGGGTTTGGGAGCGGCCTCCACGTCCGTTCGATCCGTGCGTCAGTCCGTGCGCAACGTGCGGTGCTTCTTGCTGGTTTCAACCAGGGCCAATTTTCTAGCACGAAACTGAACTACTGGCGCGGTGTTGGTTCAAGAACTCTTTCGTCCACCACAAACAGGTGCCCTTCCCGTGGTAACCAAAGGGAAACATGTGGATATGTCTTTCTTGAGGGTAGCCCTGTTTGGTTGGTTTGAAAGGGACACAAAAGGGAAAACCATGATTTTTGGGGAGTCCCCTTAAAGAGCACACATGTGTTCTGTCGAGATTCACTCGGCTACGGCATCTCGAGGCACAAATATGGCTCAGACTTTTTGAGGCCACCAAGACTTGGTTTCAACGTTTTAGAGGGAAGCCAAAAGGAAACCACCATAACCACCCACAAAATGAGGTTCCCCACTTTTTGGCACAGGCCCAAACCAAATTCATGAATTTGGTTGTTGAGAAATCAACAAACTGAAGGCCCGGCGGGACAACTCTACACCTGGAACACTTTTCGGGCCATAGAGACGTAGATTTTGTCTCAAAATCGCCTTCTTGGGTGGCCTTTTCTTGAGAACATGAAGTAGGTTAGAGTTGCACAGTGTTTATCCCCGTGAACTACGGCCTTTGGGCGATCGACTCAGATTCGGCCTCTCAATAGAAGAACACCATGACGCTATTTAATAGTGGGTCTTGTAGATTTTAGTTGGGGGCTTCTCCGCAGTCCACGTTTGGCTTCCCCCAAGGGCTTTCATGCAGATATGACTTACTGGGTTGTTAGTGTATATATATATATACATACACATTAAATTCTTGATTCTAATGCCATGTGGGTGTTTCCCTTGTTGTAATGGTAGTCCCCCTACGGGTTACGGATTAGGATTAGGGATCCCCTGCCCCATTTCGATCAACCCAGGCTTAACCCAAGGGAGGTCTTGGTTGAAAAGATTGATCTGCAGCGCAGGGAGACCTTGTCCTCGCCTGAGTCGGTATCGCATGCAAGGATGTGCGGGTTTTCTCATGACATTGGCCCTTTGAGCCCTTTGGTTGCCGAGAAGCTGATCTTTGAAGAAGAGCAGTGTCAAGGTCTTCAACCAGGGTGTTGAACGTATTGAAGAAAACAGCCACCATGCGCTTGCCTTTCACCAATGCAGAGGTGCAGTAGGAGTGTTGGAACTGTGTGAACTCTCCTTGCATTGGCCATGCAAAAGGGTATGGCAGAGCAGGCCTGTCAGTCCATGTATACAATATGCCAGTACAATGATTCGAGACTGATAAGTGGGAGAGACAGTCAGCCTTTGCATGATGGCCCCCAGTCTTCTGTCAGATGCCACCTCTTCGGGGTCCCGCTTTGGGACAAATCCACTCGAAGGGATCGCACCAGTCTCGCCAATTTGGTGCCTGCCCAAATTGAAGCCACCCCAACTGGCTGGTGCCCTTTGGCCCACCTGATTCCAGCAGGCCCTTGTATTTGTTGAAACAACCGATGGATCGCTGTGCGCTGACCGACTGTCGAAACCTATGGCTCTCAGCCAGTGATGCTGTTAGCAGAATGAGTTTGGATGGCCTGAGCAACTTTGCAGTTCCATGCCGTTCCGCGAAGATATCAGCTAAGCATTTTTCAGGGAGCTTGAGCTTCGGAGGTCTTTAACATCTTGCTGAAGGTCGTCGCAGTAGTGGTCGTCTTCATCTTGATTTCCGCCGGTATCTACCAGTGCTTTCGATCAAAGACCGGGCTGCGCATGCACGCGAGCTTGTGTGGGCCGTTCGATTTTGCAAACGTGATGGTTTGCTGATGGAGGCATTCCCACACGGCATGACTTGTGTTTAAACTCCCTCCTTTCCACGGGAGAATGTTTTTTCTGCTTTCAGTGCCTGACCTGATAAGTGAAGGTCATGGCTAGTGCCATAGGTTTGCGCAGTGATGTCCCTCGCGGTGGGGGTGAGCAGCGAAGGCTGCTCTCAGTCGGGTCATTGGAGAGTAGTCTTGGCTGTAATGATTTCAGACTCCCAAGTAGAGCCAATACTGTTGCAAGTGGTTGCAAGGTGCCCAGGATGACCCACTGAGTGGGACAAACATGCGGCGCTGGACAAACTGGAACAATCTCACCAGGAGTGAAACGAGCTCACCCATGATGAATCTCCTCTGCCACAACGATTCCGTTTGTCCAGTTTGTGAAATGTTTTGAACTAAAGCAATCTGGGTATTAGGTATGTGTCAAAGGGGGCCCTCAATTGGTGGTTTCAACCTTTTGATTTCCCCCTCAAAGGCACGATCCTTGAGCTTTCGCAGGAACGAGTTTGCGGAGCACAACGCGGCCTCGCTGACGTTGGGCCTCCGGAACCGTCATCTGACGAAGGTGCGAGGGTCCCAACTCATGCGGTTTGTAAAGGTGTCAGTTCGGGGTACATGTCCAAGCCAGGACTCATTGTTGGGATCTTGGACAAATGCCACAAAAGGGCACCAATCATTGGGAAGAGTCTGTTCTGCACGGCCACGTTACCCATGCAGCGATAGTGCCGACTGCCTAACATCACGTCTGGTTGCACTCCGCTCCGCCGACAGGAATGCATAGCCGCCGATAAGGCAACGCCGTGTGGTTCAGTTTGCATTGCCATGACAAAGAGCAGGTTCACGAGTGGGACATTATGAGCGAGAAGCGTACCAGAAGGCGGTACCCGCTTTTTGTGCGATGCTCAGACCCTCCGACAGGCCGAGTTGCCGTTGTTTGCTTGTGCTTCTCAGGACTTGCGTGGTGAATTCATGGCCCAGACCGGATGATTGTGTTTAATATATTGGCCTGGAGCGTGCAATGGTTTACTTAGCTTTCTGCTCGGCCTTGGTGTTGTTTATCGACATCTTGCTAGACATTATATTCCTGTTATTGCTGTTGTTCCTCTTATCGGCAATGCTGTGTTTGTTCTCGTGTGTCACTGTTGCTGTTGGTACACAGAAGCACCTGCGTTTCCGCGAGCTTCTAGTTGTGCGACATTCCAGATCCAGTGATGACAGGAAGTGAGGGGAGGGCTGAAAGACATTTGCCGCCCACATTGCTTGGAAATTGGAAGCTCTTGTTTGAGAGACGCTGGTCAAGATGCTTTGAGTTTGTCCGAGATGAGGTGGAACTCTCCAAGTACAACATACTGGGCGTAGGCTTCGGCCTTTTCTACAACAGCTGGGGCCCTGTCACCGGCTGTGTGTCAAAGAGTGGGACCCTCGAAAACGGGAACCAACATGAAGCCAACCCGTTGAAGGAATCTTGAGTGCCGAGGGAAAACACAACAGGCGATGGGTGTTCGCGGTCCAAAGTGCGGCGGCAAGCCGGGTCTGAGGGGCTATTCCGCTATGGTTCCAGTTTTGAGCACGATGTGCTCACAGTGTGAAGCATAAAAAATGCCCAGCGCAGAAAACAATCAATCATCAGCTAGCTGCTGCAGGTTTCACCTCTTGCTGGCAGACCATGGGCCGCCACCCACCTGTCCCATGCGTTTTGTTTGTCCCCTTTAGAACCCTTTGGAGCGCTTCCGATGGCTCGCCAGCTGAGATCAACTTTGAGCTATCCCAAGCTTCCCCTGATTTAAGTTCCAAGTTACAGTACTCATCCGGTTTTGCAGGAAGGCAGGTACTTTTCTCGCGCCTGATTTCCGTGTCCTGATTTTTTTTTGCTTGGGGGGGGGGGGGGGCGTTTGGATGATGCTCTAGAGGGAAGCCACGCGTTCTTGGCTTTGGGGCTGCAGCCACTTGAGAATGAAGTTGTGCGCAGAGGGTTGCTTCAGAGAATACGTGTGCCTTGGAGCAATTGGAGATGCAGACGATCAGATCATATGTTTTTTTAGATATCAGCCAACTGTTTAGCAACTGCCTGTCAGAGTCTTGATGGCAGTCGAGCACTTGCTTATAAGAGTCTTTAACACTTCTCAATAAGTGCTCTCTCTCGTCAGTGTGCTTTGGCTTTTGTACACCCTTCCAAATCCCTGTATTCGAGGCTTACTCTGTATCCATTCAGAACGTGGGCACTGACAGGATCTGTCATCGGACTCCGCCCTAATGGTTAGGGGCCATCAGTTCCTGAAGGGTCCTGTCACCTTCCAGGAAAGATCATATTCAGAGGAAAACGACCAGTTCAGACGTTTTGGACGAGTTTATATGCGCAGAAAGTGAGGAAAGGGTCGGTAGATTCTGAGCCATGATAAAGCATCATTGAAACTAGTAGCACCGCTGTGCCAAGGCAGCTGCGCAATCCTCGAAAAAACGCAAAGCAATCACAGCGGGCAATGTGCGTGATGCCCTTGCATCATACTCAAATGGATTTGTCTGACCGTGGTGCACCCCCTTGGTTTCCGTTCATAAGACCCATCGCTACAATTTTGGGCATGGAGGCAAAACGAGGTCACCCACGATGAAGGTTCCTTCCTGACTTAGGGGTTCCTTATTTCCATTTTGTGGGTTTGCGGAGTGAATAATAATGATTTGCTTGGACAATTCCCATTGTCAGCTATGTCGATTGTTCGGCAATCAGGCATTGTTTTCGTCCTGGTGGTCGCGCTTTTAACCTGTGCGGCCACGTGGTACGTGGCAGCAACCCGGCGGTTTTAACTCACCTGCCCCAGACGAGATGTAGCAGTTTTCTATATTATCCTCCACTGCCGTTGCTAATATTGTAGCTGTGCGGTGTTGGTGGTAATTACGTGGCACACTGTTTTTTTTCTACTTGCTGAGCCTGGGCCAAAACATCCTGATTTGAGTAGATTCCGGGGACTTGAAGGGATCCGACATGATCCGACTGTTGCTCACAGAAGCTAGCCCCTGTAAGACTGTGGACGTGGGCATGTTTATTTGCTTTGACTATAGGGTCCAACTGTTCAACCTGTCAATTTCCATGTGGGGCGGGAAATCCTACTGCCAAAGCAATGAGGGTTTGTGCGATGTGCGGGTTCGAGCAGCTGGAGGCTATCAGTCATGTCACAGTCTATGCTCAGGAAATTGCAAGGAACAGAAACAACCAGGCGGGTGCACTGAAAGTCCTGGCGATTGTTCAGTTTCTTATGGTTATGCATTCGGAGAGCAAGAGCATGTGATGAGTGAGGTATGATCTCCAGCCAACAAAGAAAAGTGATGCTGTTTGCAATTGTTTGGAGCGCTCCGAATGTCCTTCAGATTGGTAGACTTGCTGCTCCACGGAGCCTCGTCGTTAAAAGTGGGGAGATCAGTTAGGAGGCTTCGGGCACAATGGCCCCACGTCAGCCCAGCGCGGCGCAACACGTGCCGAAGCTGAGAACCGGATGCATTTGCAGTTCTTCTTCAGCGGGGAGAGCACGGCGCGCGCCACGCTTATCAAGGCAAGGATGTTCGGCAGGATGTGGGGGGGTCTTTCTTTGGGGAACCCACTTTTGGTTTCCTGAAAAACACACACACACATGCTTGAAACAGGCCTGGTTGCACAGTTGGTTCGAACTGGACCATGGTCCCCTCTTTAGAAACCATCTCAATGAGGATGCAAGCAAACAAGAGTGATACCAATTTCTGCTAGGCTTTATGGAATTTGACAAGAGGTCAGGTCCCTGAATCAGCTCAGGTTTCCTGCTAGTTGGAGAGATGCTGAAATGCTTGGAAAGATAGGTTCAGGATGAAGCATATTTTGGTGAGGGTAAACCATCCAGAGAGTATGAGCAATCGACGACATGACCACTACTCAACCGTTGACTGGGGGCACGTGCAGACAATCCGACATCACCGTAAATCGAGGATGGTGGTGGATGATGATGTTGTAGACATCACACCAATTATATGATCTTCTATTGGTCCGGCTGACTGTGGAAAGGTTTGGGGGATGACCCATGGCCTCCCCAGTGCTTTCAGTATCTATGTGAATCTTCATTAGGGGCTGCTCCATGAGTGTGATTCTGGAAGACGCTCCATGGCTGCCGATTTTCCCTCCCACTTGAATTTCAGTTGATCATGGCTTGACTAAAAGCAACACACATGGGGCGAGCTTTCCTGGCCTGGAATGCTGAGGTTCATTCACACAAACTTGCGCAACCATGCAACTCCCTTCAGCCCATGTGGGGCTTGACAAAATTAGGAACTGTTTCGCAGCAGTTTGTTTTGGAACGGTGGATGTTGGGAGCTTCTTTGAAGGGGTGGTCCACAAAAAAGGGCTTTCCATTTCAACCCGCGTACGTATTCCAAAAGGCTCGCGTTCGCGCGAGGTCCTGCAGCAAACAGAGATGCCCAAGAGCACCATCCCGGCGGTGATCGTTTCGCCGATGATGCGGCTACGGCTGTGTTTTGAGCGGAAAGCCTTGAAAGGGGCAGAGGAGCGCAAGAGCTAAGTTGTTCACATGGGATAAGCCTCATGATTGGTGTTCCTTTCTTGTTTGTTGTAGTAGTGGGTTGTCTGAAACTCAAAGCAAGACATGCTAACATGCTGTGTGTATAAGCACGTTGAAAACCCGAGCTGGAAGCAATCGAGCCTCAAGGAACTCCTAGATACCTGCCACTTTTCAGGTATCCCCGAATCGGTGGTTTGGGGATTCGAACCTCTTGGAGGCAAATGGGAACCCGCCCCAAACCGATTCGGCTCCAAAGCACGAAACCGGCCGCCGCTTCGGCTCGCTAAGCTGAACTTCCGAGGAGCTGCAGGGAGAACCGCCCTGAGGATCTGGCACAGCACCTGAAAGACTTCGCATTTACCCGTGGCTCGGGCTCGCATAAAGCGTGGGGGTTGGCTCGGCAAGCTGAAGTGGCACTCATGGGCGTTTGAGGACAAGCTGGTTGCCCGAAGCGGCTCAAGCTGCCATGCCGCATGCCCCAATAGCGAGTACATATGTATATATATATATATACATACCTTAGAGCCTCCGGCTCTGTCCGCCGATTTCCGAAATTAAATATGGTTTCTTCATAGTCATCAGGACCCCGATGAATCCAACGCAAGCTAAGCATCTAACCAGGCCATGTGCTCGCCGAGTTAGCGCGCGTTTTCACGCTTCGCGGCGTTTTGCCGACTTTTTGCGCGCGCGCCTGCGGCACCCCGTCTGGCCAAAGACGTTCCGCGTGTTTTGCATGACTTTGTGGCTGTGGTTGCCAATGCGCCTGTTCATCCTCTGCAAATCGCAGTGTTTTGTGTGCATGCCTACCGCGCCTCCTGAGCCTGGCGGTTGTTTTGCGCGCTGTGGCTGCCTGCGTTTGTGGGTGCTGGTCCGCAGCCTGAGGCGGCCACGGGGGGATGTGAGCCCCGGAGGTGTGTGTGTGTGTGTGTGTGTGTGTGTGTGTGTGTGTGTGTGTGTGTGTGTGTGTGTGTGTGTGTGTGTGTGTGTGTGTGTGTGTGTGTCGTGCGCGTGCGCTGTGCGTGCGTGCGCGCTGCGTGCGCGTGCGCGTGCGCGTGCGCGTGCGCGTGCGCGTGTATGAGCAATGTGCTCATGTATCAGAGACATTGTGCATGTATAGCTGTATATACATATATTATAATTATATACATATAATATACATGTAATATACACATATATATATAAACATATATATATATATACATATGGTCACACTTACACACCATGAACTACTTGTGCGGCCGTCCATGCTGTGAATTAGGGTATATTCTCGCGTGCAAGCCGGCACATGTATTGTAATATAGCAGTGCTTTCCACGCTTCACGTCGATCCAAGGTTTGAATCTTGTATGCATTCGGCTGGACACCTGAGGCTCATGCACCTTCGGCATTCTGCAGCTTGGCCGCAGGAGCTGACTCAGCGGAACTGAGCAGCCAAGAGCCTCTGAGAGTGCCCCATACCCGATTCGCATGATAAAAATTGGCCATCCCAATAATTTTCAGCATCAAGTTGTTTGGACCCATCATGTGTTGCAGCCTTCCATCTTCCATGCTCTGAGAAAACTAAGGCCTATGGCCCTGCTCTTCTCATTTGCATAGAGGCCACCCAGCTTTCAACCGGGCTGCCTCCTGTGCCCTTGTGAGTCACACGAGCATTGCAGCCCACCCAGGTATTTGCTGCTGCTTGCTGTGTCGATTGTTTACCTCAAGATGCAGAAGGTCTGGGCCAGGAAGCCACTTGACCGACCGATTTCCAGATAAGTACCGCTTGGCAGAACAATCAAGCAAAAAGAGGGAGGCTCAACACTGTTTTCCATCCGGTGCTAGTTTACACATGAATTATTGCAATGGCTTGAGTGTCAGCTCACTGCTTCTTGCTTTCCACTCATGCTCCCTTCATGTATGGCACGTTGAAGCTTTTTGCAATCACCTTTGCCCCATCCTTTCTTGACTTAGGTTTGATGAGCACAGCAACAGCATGTGCGACTTCGTGGTCCTGCTGACAGGCAATACCCGTCCGAGCCATGGGCTCTGTGCTGTTTTTTTCATGATCATTATGATTATCAGGTCAGAAGTATGGCGCTGACGATGTTCGCCTTTGTTGGGTGCACTTGTGCATTCAAAGTTGACCAGGCTGTGTATTTGTTCTGGACTCCGATGTCATGCGGGTCTCGGCGTGTTAGGCTGCCAGAGGCGGAGGCCAAGGCTTGTGTCTGGGTGCGAAGGTATGTGTTTTCTTGATGTTGCTATGACGGGGCTGGGCTAATCCGCTCCTTGTGAACCAATCCTTCCGTGGATTTATATACACCTTACACCGCTTGTCCAATCAATCACTGAGAATTTGCACATACTCGTCCAAGGCCTGTTGACTGCACGATTTTTTGCAGATCGTCAAAGGAAGGTGAAGCCCATGTCATTATTGTTTATGATAGGATTAACACATCACAAGGAGCTTCGATTGAAGCCGTCGAGGGCCTTTATTGCTGCTCCTATCCGTGGACGTTGCACCAGTGGCAGGTTTTCCGCCAGACGCTACCAACGAGGCGCGGACCTGTTGGCTTTGCTGGATCAGCAGGACTTGGTTTGGTTCAGGATTCGGAGCATGGGTGAATGCGTGGATATGGATGTGTGGACGGATGGATGGACAGACAGACAGATGCATGGATGGGCGGGCAGGTGGGTGGAGGGATGGAGGCATGGATGGACGGACCAGCCGGACAGACGGATGGATGGATGCATTAGCGGAAGGGAGGGAGGAATTGTATCCTTACTGGCGAGCACTGGGCGGACATCATTCCAGGACGATTCATAACTTCACCTCGCGGACTCGAACATCTTCAGATTTCATTGCCACCCGTCCATGTTGCTTGACTCTCCTCAAGGGTTCTTGAAGTTCCCAGTTCCCCGCCAGCCAAGTGAATGGCGGGCCGGATGGGCACGGGCGTGTTGCCATAGCCCTTGCCAGGTGGAGCTGAAGCAATGGGCCCAGGACGCACTGACGAAGTGCCTTGCCTTTGGATTTGGAGCTCAGACCTCGGGGGAGGGGGGGGGGGGTTGAAGTTGAAACTTTACGCTGAAAGAGGATGTGAATCCCCTGATTGAAGGGAAATTATCGCAAATCTTCAAGCTGTCGAAGGTACAGACTGAAAAGCCGAGGAACGACGTGCATGTTTGGTACAGACCGGTCCACCAAGTATTGAGATTCGCCGGGACCTACTGATGTCGTGTCAAGTATTTGTTCAGCAACAATGCCGTTGCCCATTGCATTTGCAAACTGAGTATACCGTATCTGTGGCCGGCACAAAGGCGGCAGCACATCAATGCTAATGACAGTATGACAATATACCCATGCTACAGTCCCTATACAAGAACAAAACCGGCAACACCCGGCCACTGTTTACCCATTGTGTGACAATCATATTCCAACGATACATTCATGACATTCCACAAGACCCATCTTAAGATAAGATTGTCTTTAATAAACAGTGCAACCTGATCAGCAATATTGACACAAGGTAGGGATGCTATAGTGGGCATATCCACATGGCTGTTGCATGTTCTTGCGCGCCCGCAGAACGCAAGAAAAGTGCCGAAGCTGCAGGTGTGGCAATTCAAGTAGCCAGTCAGAAGGTGCAGCGCTTCCCCAGAGGTATCGCGACATCAAGTCCAAAAGCTGGACCTTCACTGTGTCTCATCAGGGATTTCAGGCAAGCTTCGATAGGAAGCAGGCCTCCGAGGTCACCAAACTACTGCACATGAAACATGCAACCATTGCTCGCCTCAGGGTTCCTCTCAGCGAAAGCTAAACATGAAACTTTAGCTGTACTCCAACCCGGACCAACATGTTGAACAGGTGCAGGAAGGGCTGCCACGAACAAGTGAAGCCTCTTCGGCGGAACAGAGCTGGATCGGAACTGATTCAGTTTCCGAATCAGGCTGTTCCAACCAATAGCTGAAACGGATGTGTCGGCCGTGTTGGCTGTTTCAACCCTTGACCTTGTTCGGAGACATGAAGCCAAGGAACCCTAGAGAGGGGAGAATGGCATGTGGATGTGTCGTTTCCTAAGGGGCCCAAAATTGTTAGCTGTTCTTTTGATTTCCCTTTGAAACACAAACAGGGGTCTGTTTTTGAGGGCCCCCTTTTTAAAGGGGGTTTAAAGGGAAGACAAAAGGAACAAGCCGCAACCATTTTGGGGTTCCCCCAAAGAAGACAGACCCACGCTTCCGCATCTCCTTTTGCGCCTTCCCCAGGTGTGGCCTCGGGCATTGCGAGGTGGAGGGCGCGAGCCGCGAGCTTAGTCCGCCAGGCCCTGGAGCCGACTCTGGGAGACAGGAACGAGAACTGATCCCACGGGTTAGGGGGGGTTAATCTAGGGGTTTCCGGGCTAGGGTGTGACTCTCAAGGGGATACGAGGGGGTACACAAGACTTGCTGGTTCTCAGAATGAGAGAACGACCAATGCAAACCATCTCCTATGCTTTCCTTCAATGGAATCCCAAAAACCGGGTCTAAGGGGTTGGGTCTAGAGAAGTGGGATATACCAAGTAGAACTAGCAAAAAGTGGGGCCTGGGGGGGGGGTGTGACTACATAATATACATATATATATATAGATATTACATATATACATATATGTATGCATATATAGTATAATATAGAGAAAGAGACAGAGAGAGATGAACATAAAGAGAACGAGACAGAGGAGGACGCGAATATTGCGAGCAAG